AATAAAAATTACAGTGAATGACATAAGAAACATGACAATCAGAGCTCTTCATTCCTTTCAAAACTGTTTCCTCCCATATTGTATGTTGCAGTACTGTATGTCCCTGTATGTTGCAGTACTGTATGTCCCAGTATTTTTTCAGTACTGTATGTCCCAGTATGTTGTAATACTGTATGTCCCAGTATGTTGTAGTACTGTATGTCCCTGTATGTTGGAGTACTGTATGTCCCTGTATGTTGTAGTACTATATGTCCCTGTATGTTGCAGTACTGTATGTCCCTGTATGTTGCAGTACTGTATGTCCCTGTATGTTGCAGTACTGTATGTCCCAGTATGTTGTAGTACTGTATGTCCCTGTATGTTGCAGTACTGTATGTCCCTGTATGTTGCAGTACTATATGTCCCTGTATGTTGCAGTACTGTATGTCCCAGTATGTTGTAATACTGTATGTCCCAGTATGTTGTAGTACTGTATGTCCCTGTATGTTGCAGTACTGTATGTCCCAGTATGTTGCAGTACTGTATGTCCCTGTATGTTGTAATACTGTATGTCCCAGTATGTTGCAGTACTGTATGTCCCAGTATGTTGTAGTACTATATGTCCCTGTATGTTGCAGTACTGTATGTTCCTGTATGTTGTAGTACCGTATGTCTCTGTATGTTGCTCATGTATATGCTGATATTGTTTCATAGTATTAATGTTAATACTGGATATTGTAATAGAAGTTGTTCAGAGAATAATCACATATTAACCTTTCCTGAATAGACAGTTGGATATTAAATTTTGCATAACATTTATAAACACATTGCTTCTTTATGTATTTATAGAATATGGTTTCTATGAACCATTACAGGCTGAAAGTACATATAGGAGAAATCAGCAGCGCAGTTGAGACAACTGGTTGCTGCTGAAATAGAACTCATAGAACAGATGAAAAGTACCTGCATATCCTTTTGTAGTATACCATATTTTCTTGAGTAAAGTGCGCACCCATGTATAATGCGCACCCCCCTCTAGCGGGTTCAATATTTTGGAAAAAAAGAAATTTGAATACTATGCGCAGAAAGAAATTACACCGTACCCCTTCAGCGAAGTCTGGCAAACGAACGGGTGATGAGAAACTTCGTCAGTACAAATTCGAAATTTGAGATAAAAAATCACCAGACATGTTGATTTACCGTTTAAATAGTATTTTTAATTCAGCTAGGCATTGTTTTATATCCAGAGATTAAGATTACCTTGTGTATTTTCTCGTAAACTAAGCCGGACACAGCAATCAGCTGTACACACGTTTTCTTGGAATCTACCGGTGATTCGGTCAAGACACACCCAATGATATAACTTTACAGTATTTAAATGCAAGGATCGGTAAAAGTTGGATCTGAACCTATTTTTTTATCAGGAATAATATATTCCAATATCTTGTTAATTTAGATGCAGCTTTTACTAAACATATTTAAAATAATAATAACCCTAAGCGAAGCAGCTGATCGCTATTGCAGGGTATTATTTTTTACATGGAACCAGCCTGACCAGTCACCGTCAAGGCTCCCGTGCACGTGATCGCGAGAATTACATGTTGACATAGAATCGTCCAACAAAAACAAATATGACTTTTAACGAATCAAAGTATGGCATTTATGATATATGTATCCATTCTCTGTCAAGTAAAGTTCATTTCAAGGCGTCAATAGCGGCAATCTGACCGTGGTTGCTGTTAATAACGGTGAGTTGTGCGATCTTCCGATCGCTTCACACATGATTTTGCCGAAATTAATTAAAACAATATTAAAAGGAATTTTGAATAAAATTAATGAAATAAGTTACAAACATAAGTCCAGATATACAAAGAACACTTTTTATAGCCAGTCATTGTCATTACATGAATATTTTGCGAACTTCAGTGTGGATTTGTTGACATGGTATTTCCGGTGTTACGTGCTTACGGTAATGTCTTTTCTTTCCATGGGGGAAAAAACATCAAAACTCATTAATTCGTGTATAATGCACAACCCCTTCTACACAGCTGTGTTTTTTGGAAAAAAAGTGTGCATTATACTCAAGAAAATACGGTAATCTAAACAGATCAAATGATAATGTTAATGAAAGGACATTTACCAAATTGTGCTAATAATTTCTAAATATGGACCTAATGTTCAATGTGAAAGTACTGTTTCAAGACAAAGTATTTCAGATTTGATCAATAGCAGATGTGTCCGATTTCAAGCAAGTTAAGCTAAATTAAGCTACTTTAATTGCCATACACCAGAACATTAGAGTGAGGTAAACAAATTAATGAATGCTTGTTTTAGAAACTCTATAAAAGGGTGATGTATGCCTGGAAAAGATGTATAATAAATGTCATGGAAAGCAGAGAAGAAATGTTCTGTTGAAACACCTCATTAGAGCTGAAAGATGGATGTGTTTGTGAGTCTCAATGATTCTCAAAGCAGCAATGATGTCATGGTTTCATGGTTACTATGGTTAAACTGAATTATTGAAAAAAACAGAAAATCATCCATTGTTCATAATGTCTCAAATTGCAACTATCAGAAGACTAAATCCATTCCCTATGTCTTTATAGTGTTGAATTTGATAAACCTCTTTTAAAATGCATGCTGCTGCTCCTGATGATAATAACTATATTGTTTGATTTTCACAGCATCATCCTCTTTGTGATGTGATGTTCAATTGATGTTTGAGCTTAGACTTACTGACATCATGATATCACCACTTTGTGTGTTGAATGATAAGTAAATGTGTTCAAACAAGAACTTATGTTTTTACGCACATTGTATGAGTGGCATGTGCTATTGTATGCAAGAATTATATCCTACCTAAATATTATCCCAGGGGATGTTTTACTCTAGAGTATAGTATAGGATAGGATTAAACGCATTGTTATGGGTTCAAATTCACTTGGGAGAACGATCCTGACGCTAGAGAATTTCATCCCCGGGATAAAAAATAGGGTAGGATAATATTCACTCTTACACTATCTGTAGAGGACATCAGAGTGTGTCATCACTGATATTGGGGGATAAAATCATATAATTGTCACCACTATTTTGCCTTTTACACCTAATGGAATCCTTGGCAGATAAATGAGACTGATTATTCTCTGGCGTTGACATTAGATTTTTTATAGTGATGGGAGTTGCCTCCCTTATACTAGACAACACAAAAAAACACAGTCATAATTTTGATGGTGTGGAACGGCAATTAATTAGCTTTTCACGAGAAATAAGTATAGAGACGGTAAGGCTTTGCAGCTGAAACTAAATGATAATCAATTCAGTGATCTGTTACTCTCTCAAATACTAAATGGTTTTCACTTTTCACTCTGATAATCACGTTATTAGTCACAAGTTTGAGGATGGTTGTGAGTTCATTATCTTGCATCACGAATAACTGTTATTTGTTATAAATCACACATGACCCTTCAGTGCACATGAGCTATTGTATATACAATGACATGAAGATGATAACAGAACTATATGATAAATACAACACGTGATCAGTCATGAGTATATGTTATCAAACATGATGACAAGCACATTAGTCCTTTCAATACTAATTACATGACAGTGTTGTTGGTGTGTGAAATGGGTACAGAGTTGTCAACATAGGTTTATCTGACTACAGTTGGAGAAAATGAACTCACAAGGGAAAAGGGTTAGGGAAAACGATTTTGGTTGCAAATATGTCCAAAGATAATTTGATGTTTTGTCCACATTAGTGGGTTTTCCATCAAATTTAATAAAAACTATATTGGAAGGCAACTGAAATAGCAATTTCATAGACACATGTATATCATTTGTTTCATGCCATCAAACATGTTGGAATCGTACAATCAATCTGCTTTTATTTAGCAGAGATTTCTTATGAATATGGAATTGGTTTTGTTGCTTTAAATAGAAAAACTGAACTCCAGAAAGTGAAAAAGTGGAAGTATTTATTCTGCATTTCAGTTTTGAAAGAGGAAGCTTACTCAACAACTGCTATTTGATAAAGAGTCAAATAATGACTTTTTTTAAAACCAATGTTATATTCCAGATACAGCTATACATAAACCGTTCCATCACGTACCTGACAGTGAGGTGTTCTAAGTCTGACCATGGCCTATATATTAAGTGGAGTACTCCCAATCTCCTTGAACGGGGTTAATACCACATCTTTCAGTCATGTTGGTATTTGGGGCTCAAGGTCATTTTGAGATTAATGTGATATAAATAACTCTCTGATATGATAGTATCACACTTATAAGCCACCTGATTGACAGTGTCTCATGAGATTGCCATGTGTGTTTTGGCAAATCCTTTTTGATATCTGAATTGTTTGGCAGGTGTTCTGAAATGAATACAGGTGAATGCAACAGCCAAACTTAACAAATGTGGTGTTGTCAACAGTATTTTTGTATTTCATTCAGATAAATAAGCGACACAACCCTTTCCATATCCAATAGAAATCTCAGCATAAAGCAGAGTCGATTGTACGATTCCGACTACATCATGAGCATGTGTTTATGAATCACTATCAAATAGCAATGATACCAGATGTCCGCGAAAAGGTGAGCGTATCCTGCCCCACCGGTGGCACCCATCACTAGGATAGGCTGTAGTGAGGATATTCGTGAACGATCATACAGTTGAACTCGCTGACGTTTCTCAATGTATGTTCAAGATTAAAAGGTCTAAATGATCAGAAACAACGTTTCTGTGTGTATTTATGTTAGGGCATTCGAAGGGGTTCCCCCAGGAATTTGTAAGTAGTCCATCAGGGTTTACATCATTTCAAGAATATGGTCTCGTGAAAAACATATGAATGTCAAATTGTGTAGTTCATACACTTCAATTTTGCGGTCATGCGAACTACCTCTTGTCCAATGGAAAAGCTGTATACTGTGTAAACTTCACATTAAAATATTATGAACATTAAACACAATATTAGTATGTGAAAGGGAACAAAGTTGTAGTATTAGACGAAACGTTGAGGAGAGTATGGGTATGAAATAATTTATTCAAAGGATGATGGCCCAGTCATATAAGATATGACAATGTGCTGAGTTGCATCCCTTAGGCTTGCCAGAATCCTTTGACCCTGCTTTGAATCCTGGTTCACTGCACTGCACTGAAGCACTGTCATAGTTCTGATATACTTTCACATTCTCCAGTTAATGGGATGTTTGACATATTCCAGCTGGCAGAGATAACATATATGGACATAAAATATATGATATACAATCGTGTAACATAACAATTCTTAATTTGTATTCTGACAATGGCAGGTAATGTCAGCGCTCTGACAATCAGAAGGATTGAGTTCAAATTCAAGAAGGGAAAGGTTATACATTCTCTTTATTTTTATTCTATTCATGTCAAGAATAAAAACAAATCAATTTCATAATCTTTTCTCCAACTGCCGTCTTACATACATTGTCTTCTCTAGTTTATATGGCTGCAAAGTGAATTCCTACAATCAGCAGAATGAAGTATCAACAATAGGTATCTCCCTATATTTTAGTTTTCGATGCCAGTGAGTTTGAAGACCCAGCCCCATTGGCATGGCATCTGGTTGACTGGAATGGCAGGAACATTAATGGTCATCCCGCCTGATGACCGCTTGTCCCAAGTGAACTGGCCCATGTAGCCAAGAAGGGTGACCGTCGTGCTAGTAGTGGGCACTGGGGCACTGAGGACAAGGTTATTCATGGTTCCAGTAGGCCAAGAAAATATGATAGCATAGACGAAGCCTTCATTCTGTGTGTACCTGAAAAATAAGTCGTTTTTGAAATAATTTAGGATTATCAGATGTGCTCATACAATTAAGATGTTGAAAATGCTTGCATATTTTAGACTTAAACAACCTAATGTATAGAGTCCTATATATAAGTCCTAAATGTTTCAAAAGACTTGTTTTAGAGGATTGCTGTATGAAAAAAGATGTTTTCATGATGTATGCTGCTCTTTAATCCATGAAACTGAGTAAAATTATGAAATGGATGTAACAACTATTGTATTTCCAAAACCCTTGCATGAAAAATGCTCCCTCACAACTCCAGCAAAACACAATAACACAACTCCAGCATGACACAGTAATCATTGAGCACTGCATTATTAAGGGCTCCATTAAGTTTTCCAGTCATGGAGTATTTAGTCGTATGTACCATTCACATGAGGTATTGATAGTTTCTCTTTGGATTTGTCACCTCACGACAGTGATATGCATGCCTAAGTTACAGTGATTCAGAGTGCTTTTGTTCTGTATTCACTGCAGTAGAGGTCATGTATACATGATGACTGCATTCAATCAGTAAGTATAGATGTATAAAAAAGTTTTGTTTGTTTGTTATGTAATGCCACACACAGCAATATTCCAGCAATATGACAGAGGTTTCTAAATAACCGAATCTAGACATGACAATCCAGTGACTGACATCATGAGCATCAATCAGTTGGGATATGAAGACATGCATCAGCCAAGTCAGCGAGCCTGACCATCGGGTCCTTTTGGTCGCCTCTTACAACAAGCATAGTTGCTGAAGACCTATTCTAACCCGGATCTTCACAGGTCGCATGCCAAAATGGATAGTACAGGTATGCAAACTGAAAAGGCTACTTTAGGTAATAATTGAATTTTTGTGCAAGCAAAATAAATCAGGTTATGATGATATATTTTGTGTATTATACACAAGTATGCAGGTCATCAGGAGCTGGTATTATGCTTACCACACTCGAGGTGTGACGGTGTCGTTCTGATGTGACCAAGGTTTGCTGCCGTAGATAGCTTCTCCATTGACCTTCAGCCACTGTCCCATACCTCGCAGTCTCTCCTCATAGATCGGTGTAATCATGCCATACTTTGTAGGACCAACATTCATAAGCATGTTGCCACCGCAGCTGTTTTAGGGGAATAAAAAGAGTACATTAATGTTATTGAAACATCTCCTTTTCAATCTAATTGTCTGATGTAAGGATTTATGTGTTTATTTTTTGGTTTTATTCAAAAGAATGTTCCCAAACACATTTAAGTAACAGTGAACATGCTCTTAGTTATATATTGTCATGTTAAGAAGCACAAATAATATTCCTCTCTGTTTCTTTGATGACTTGCCTAAAGTGTATTGGTGTTCAGTTGGACTGAAAATGGACTCCATCACAGGCTTTCAAGAGAGTTTTAGGTTCTTTTGTTTCTTTTGTTTCCAAAGATCAAGGAAACAAAACAAAAACTTAATGATAAAATGAGTGAAATCAATATGGGTCACAGACAAAGAGAGAGAAATATTCCCAGTACAAGAAAATGTCACATGCAGGTTTGTTAAGAGTGCACCAGAATTTCGATTCTGAGAAAATGTGATATTTTGAAGTTACTGGGTTTGAGAAAAACAGTAATTTTGAGGTCACTGGTTTGAGGAGGGTTCATTGATGTTTGAATTTAGTTTAGAAACAAACATTTTCAGTTTTGAAAGAATAGCATAATTAATTAGCATCAGCATCAATTATTAGCATCAGCTGTAATTGATCTCTTTGTTTTTATTTGTTGTTTAACACAGCACTCAGCAATATTCCCGGTATATGACGACTGTGTGTAAATAATGAGTCTGGATAGGACAGTCCACTGATTGGTATCATGAGCATTGATCCACGCAATTTGGATATGATGTCATGCATCAACCAAATCAGCGAGCCTGACCATCCAATCCCGTTAGTCACCTCTTTCGACACGTGATCTTCACGGGTCAATTGTTTTATGAGACTTACCTTACAACCACAGCCTATAAATTGATATTGATAGGAACAAGTTCAACCCTTGTACAAATAGAGATAATGGTTATGGAATCTCATATACCTTACAGTTTCCACAAATGTTTCAATGATTTCCTCCATGGTGAGAAAGTCCTCGAGGCTGGCTTCTCGGCGGAACCCCCAGGACGTCTTGTCAATTGTCATGGCATTCACCCACTTCCTGGGCTGAAGTACACCTGAAATTGTTCGATATCATTAGGTCAACTGTATGTTCTTAATAAAAGTCTCTTAAGATATATCTAACTTTTTTCTAGATTTGAATGATTAATGTTGAGGAGGAAAGTGTTTATGAAAATAACTGTGTGTATGATACAAAGGAATAGGAAGAGTGAGTGAGTGAGTTGGGTTTAATGCCCCTTTTAACAGTATTCCAGTTATATCACGGCGTGTCAGCTTAATGTGGGAGGAAAGGCCGAAGTGATGCAGGTCTCAGATGTTTACCACTTCGGTGAAACCCATGAGCACGGGTATGGTGCTGACAAACCTAGAAACATAATTGGGGCGAACCGGGATTCGAACCCACTATCATAGGTTTCTGGCATGCCCAAGGGACGCAACTCTGCACAGCGAATCACGGCGCCTTAGAAGACTGGGCCACCCGTGCCCCCGAATAGGAAGAAGTGGTGGAGGAGTAAGTTGAGGAAAATGTGTAGGTTAAAAGACAAGTGGTGGGAACAAAGCCTTTGGGTAAAGGAGGCCCCAAAGATTAGAGATCCAGTGAGGGTGGAGAAAGGGGATAGATTTACCTGGGTTGTACCTGTCCCAACAGGTGAGGACTCCCCCATGATGACATTTTATTTTGTTGTTTCCCCAGCGGTCATTTGTCACCACAACATCCTTGACCGGACTGAAGATAAAAATACCTCTGAGCATTTCAGGTTTGTCTATGTGTGGTAAATGCATTGAAGAAAGTTGATACCGACACAGTAAATTATTTCCACATTGCTTCCATGATGAAACCTACACAATATACAACCACTGTTTAACTGATTAATTGGTTTTGATTTTAGATATCCTTCAGCTTCTTCACAATGTTGAGTTCATTTCATATGGACCACAAGTCATCGTAACATTTACATGAAAATATATAATTTTTACTAATCCTCTACCTCTATTACATAATTGCCATAAATCCTGTGTTTTGGCTGCAATCACTCTATTACTAAAATTTCAGATTCTCAACAGAAGTCCTCTTCACTGTTACTTATATATGATTACTTGACACTGACGTTTGTCAGCACCATACCCGTGCTCGTGGGTTTCACCGAAGTGGTAAACGTCTGAGACCTGCATCACTTTGGGCTTTCCTCCCACATTAAGCTGACACGCCGTGATATAACTGGAATACTGTTAAAAGCGGCGTTAAACCAAACTCACTCACTCACTACTTGACACTGACAGCATACAGCTCTTCTGTGTGCAGAGGAGGGAAAAACCTCACTTCTTTCCTGTGTGTGCTGGAGGACACATCTCCTATCAGGATCTGTCTCTAGCACTGATTGTGTCATAGTGCTATATAATATTACTGTATGATAATAACTATAAGAAGTCTTTTGCTATAGATTATATTTTCTGGTCAATTCTTGTGAATATTACTGATTGAGTATGTGTGTCCTTGTCTCCCTGTCTCCAATGTGTTGACTGCCTCCCCTCCACATGTTAGAAGTGTGGACATTTTATGGTGACTGACAACCTTACTCCTCTTGTTGGAAATGTAGATGAGATATCTGCTCTGATGACTCCTGATATGAGCAGTGTTCTCCAAGCTTCTAGATGCCATCAAGAAAGCTAAGAGGAATGAAGCCTCAAAGAAATCTATCAGACCTGTCAACCCCTCATCATGACAATGTGGGAGATTTGACTTCAAAATGGGGGAGATTTGCCTCCAAAGGGGGAGATTTTTAAGATAGTGAAGATAAGATAATTTCCAACTTTTATTTTTAATAATGTTACAAAGAAAACCAAATATTTTGAAACAATACATAATCAATAAGTTTCTTATACGTACAGCTTGCTTAATTTCCGTTTGCATTTTCCTCCTCCAAAAATAAACCCAGCACAATCTACCCATATAACTTTCGTTCAAAGATCATCTCAGATAAACGCAAACAGATATTGAAATTTCACAATCGGTAGCTTGACCAGTTGACGACGTGTTCAATCCGACCAGTTGTCAGGCTTCGTTACGATGCAGGTTTTCTGAGTATTTGGCGCGATGTTGGTTACAAAATTCGCCAGAGAAATATCAAATGCATTTATCCTGACGCAACATCATCGCCCTTAATTTCAATAAGATATACTGGGTTTTTTCTGTCTGCGGTAGTCTGTTGACAGTCCCATTACTTCGCTTCTTAAATTTCCTAGAAATGTTCACGTTATTCCATTCCAAGAAATGTATGCCATATTTGGAAGTACTATTACGTTTTACTACAATTTATGAATGAAATGAGTCTCGTTGTCGTTGTTGACCTTTCTGACCTTGACGTGTATTAATCTCATTGGTTGACTAGTACTATTGTATGCAAATTAGATTGCAGATCTGGGACGCAAGCAAACTATTAGACAATCAAATCGTGTAAAATAATCACATGATACATTCTCGCGAAATTTGATAAAGTTCTGTTTTGATATTTTCTGTGCACACAAGTCACGATGTCAGTCAAAAGGAAATTTATAAGTTTCACTTTAAACTTTGACTTTGAAATCCTAGCTGTGAGGAAGCCTGATCGTGTAACTCATTGTTATTTCGACTACCGAATCAACCAATCACGCATAGTGTTGTTTCTGAAGACGGCGCTTGCAGGACATATTTTGTTTTCATTTCCAAGAGTTCAATGACGTAACTTTGAGGTATGTTGATGTTTTAACAAAGTTTCTGACAAATCTGATAACCAATAAAGTCATGTATAACTGGACCGGCCATATGTATCTACGTTCTTAAATTATGGAAGAATAAACACGCTAAGAACATGAAGACAACAGTTCATTTCATGAAGTGATGAATACTTGGATGATTTTTCATTTCAAGTTCAACCCTTCAGGCACCTGTTAGGACTATCCGAGTTTTCTTAACAGTTTACATTGTTCAATCGTTCACCATATGAATTTAATTACCAGTTGATTACTGGACAAAGGCCCATCTGGGTCCCCCTGCTGGTGGCTGTGATAAGGGTCGCTAATCCGGGAGCCTACCGGACAGATCGGGACGCAAACTTCCCGTTCATTGTTTTTACTCACGGGACAATGGAGGCGAATTTTTTAAATAATGAAGAAATCCTGTTTTGCGGGAGAAATAGTCCATCTTGCAGAGACTGGGAGATTTCATCAAATTGCGGGAGTCTCCCGCAAAATGCGGGAGGGTTGACAGGTCTGATCTATTCACATCAGAGCTTACATTAACTGGTTATGAGGTATGAGTAATGTTATCCCTCCATTGAAGTCACCTTGTGAAGGAAATTCCGGTGATTCCGTTAATCCTATTCAGACCGAACAAATAGAACTCATTCACAGCCTCTTGGACTCATGCAAGAAGATTTCCTGTCGATGTACTGTACTGTTTGGATGTCGTCGCAATTACAATGGGTCCAACATCAACAACTCCTTTCTCAGATCAGGTCTTGAGCTGTTTGGGATCAGACGAAAAAGATGATCATGACCCAGCCTATTACTGCTCCCAGACTTTTCAATCACAATATGGGGAAAGTTATTAATGAAGTCTGTCAAGATACCACTGAAAGGTGTCAAGTTTCGACAACTAATCTGGCGACCAAAGCACATGGCTCTACTTACCCACCAAAGCGCCCAAATGATCCAAATGACACTGGTTTCAGGGCACCTTAAAGGAAGAAGCATTCCTTTCAACCTACTTGTTGACCTGACAGATCTCAATGCCCAGTCAACACTTTTTGTCAGCCAGAATTTAAACGCCCAGGATCTGGCAGAAGATGTTTCACATTGTCTAGCTGGCCTGACTGCAGATTATGACTCCCCTTCTTCCCTCATCATGCTGCCTACAACCCTATTGATCTGGATCATCGTCTGCCGCTGTCCACCACTACACTGACTCTGGGCCCAATGAGAGGGCTATTCGTCATTTTATGTCGACAATTGGATTCTCATTGTGACTCACAGGGACATGCTGCACTTCCAAATTAACCCTGCTCTTGTATTCCACCCTGTCGGCCACTGATTCTATCTGGAAGGTCCAAAATTAGGTGAGGCCGACCTCACCATCTATGCCCTACTAGACAAGCATGCCATTTGGAGAGTTAAAGAAACCGTCGAAAGCAGGTTTTTTTTTATTCCCCAGTCTTCTTGGTTCCGAGGAAAATCTCACTGGACATCATGATGATCATCTACCTCAATATCCTCAACAAAACATTTTTGATGGAATCGTGAGAAAGTTATGCTTAACACTCAGGACAGGAGATTTGCTTATTGGCCTCGATTTCTGAGATGCGTATCTGCATGTGCCTATCCACCCAGCCTCAAGGAAATTAATCTGTTTTGTTATCAACAGACACGTTCCAAGTGCTCCCATTCTGAATCTCAATAGATCTTTAGCTATTCACCAGAATAATGATGCGTGTCATCAGTTTTGCCCATCTACAATTTGTCCAGCTTTGCAGGTTCCTTGTTGATTTGCTTGTGCCAGGACAAGACAAGGACCAACTCCATCAAGATATGATCTTTCCCACACAACTGATGATGCTCATCAGACAGCTCTGTCCCCCTCCCCAGAAGATCATTTTGCGAGGGCTCTATCGATGATCGACATGGTCACGTCTCAACCCACATGAACTCTTAGCTGGTGGATGTCTCTTTTGGGAAGCTTAAGGTCTCTGCAGGACATGAGTTGCAGGGGAAAGTTACAGCTGTGCCTATTGAAAGTGGTTTTAACAGCTCTTTTATTAAACGAAAGAATAGGCAAACCAGGAAGGGACCTTGAACTTTACTGGTATACGCCATAATAGTGCACCTGCTGTAAAGTCAACACAGCTTGTACAAAATTCTCAATAGATCTTTGGCTATTCACCAAATTGAACTGTGAGTGGAGACGCATACTGTATAAACCTAAAAAGCTGTTGATCACAATCGAATTACACATTACATTCACTGCTAACATCCTGTTTATATTGAATGTTTATAAATCAATTTGATCTTGGTATTGACAGTGTACTTATTTTACCAACCTGTTTTTGCAGTGATTTACACATGGTTACGTTGTCACAGGAGAACAAAATACAAAACATATACACAAATGGAGAGGAACTAAAGGCAATCTTGTATGCAGAGGGAAATATGGCAATCAGTCAGCTGGTTGTCATTTTGGATGCATTTCTGAGAGCAATATTCGACTTTGGCGCAAAAACAAGACAAAACTTCAATCCCTTCCAAAGTCAAAGAAGGCAGAAAGGGGGAAATCTGAGCAATTTCCGAAGTTGGAAGACAAGCTGATGGAATTGGTAAAAGAATGCAGAATGGCCGGGATTGGAGTCAGCACAAGTGACATACGGCTCAAGGGCGCTTGAAACAGCTATGAAATTGGGAGTAATGCCTGACAACTTCAAGGCAATTAAGTGTTTATGGAGAGACATGAACTTTCAGTTCGTTGCCAGACTCACATTACACAGAAATTGCTGTCAGGTTTTGACGACTAGTCACAGGAGTTTGACCTGTCACTGATTGAAAATGCAGATAAGACCACATTGCCGTTTGACATCCCTTACACATTGACAGTTGATTTCAAGGGCCAGAAGATAATCAACATCAAGACCACAGGCAATGAGAAAAAATGTTTTACAGTGATGTTGGCTGCAGTGTTGTAGCAAGCCGGGGGGCAGTTGCCCCCCTATATTTTTTTTATCGAAAACAGTTTTATTTGAATCATGAAAATACAAGTTGGGGACAAGTGATACTTGTACAAATATTTGCCCCCCCCCCCCCCCCCGTCATAAAAAAGTTAACTACGGCCTTGGGCTGTGACTGGTGATGGGGAAAAAAGCTGCCCCAATACAATAAAAGGAATAGAGGTCTATGTCCAGGAGAAGGGGTGGTTTGATGCTGAGATAACAATGGACTAGTACTGGATCAAGACAATGAGGGGACAGGCCGCATGTGCCAACGAGATCTCTCTCTTGTTTGTAAACATGGATACTGGAAGCCTTGCAGAGTGTCTTTCAAGAATTGCTGTATTACAAACACATGATGGCAGCAGAGATGACATCCTATATGAAGTTCAAGCTAATTCTACAGACGACGAGGATGACCAAGATGACCAAGACATCAAATACGCTGATTATGTCAATGATGACGCTCTGGTGTCTATCTTTGACACCGACAGCAGTGATGCAGACTTTCTTGATTTTGAAAATGAAACACCATTTTTTGAAAAATGAACTGTTAAATATCTAGACAAGAACTGTTGATTCTGATTGCAAAATATAGATGCCAACTACTGTATGAAACCTGGACTGTTAATGTCTAATGAGTTTGTATATATCTGTTTATTTATGTTTATTGAATTTTACAAATGAAAATTGTGAAAACCGGTACTTGTTGTTTTCTACAAATATATTTTCACAGGACAAAAATTGTGTTGACACCGTCTGGTCTAGCTACTCTCCTACCCAGAGTTCCATGCATTTATGTCTCCAAAATGACTATCAACAGCAGTTGTACCAAGTACAAAACAATGTCATTCAAAGCAAAGGAATAACACAATAGGCATCCAGTGAGTTAATTATCACTGCTGTGGTCAAGAGTTCTACCCACTCATGTCAAACTAGGCATCATTGACCACTCCAGCAGTACAGACAGACGCCACCCACGCAACACTTTGTCAAACGCCGACACGACCCAACGCGCACCAAAAGGCTTCATCACACTCCTCAGATCTACAAACCTTTGTCTTGTCTTGCCTTCAAGTTAGTTGCAACCTTCTCTGCATACCAGTCAGTGAACTGTTGTTGGTTCAATTATTTTATTGCCTTTGAACTTTCTTAATGCCAGTAGACAGAATAAACATATGAACTGTGTGTTGTTTTTAGGAAAACACTGGTTATTGTTTTTACGGAAGTGTTCTACTCAGCACTAATAAGCAGTGTTATTTGGGTTTGATTGGATTAATTTAAGGTTGGATTAAGGTAAGGATAAGTATCATTCCACTGGGGATGGGGTGGGGTGAGTTGGTATTGAGTCGCATTTTGGGCTGGGGTTCAGCAATCGTATTAATTTGGAGATACATTTATTTCAAGATTTACATATTTACTAGCTGCTGTAGCTAGTTTTTGTTTTGCTCCTTTACCTGTCCAATATCGGATCGTATAGTATATTTTATCATATAATGGGTAGGTTTCTCGGCAGGATAAAGCCAACGGATAAAAAACGTTGGGGTCATATGCGGATAGAGCCAACAGAAAAAACCCTTTGGGGTCATATGTGGATAGAGATGCAAATATCAAAGGTCAAGTAGGACTACTTTCACTGTTTATAAACAAACATGGCGTCGCCCTCGTCATTCGGCGATCCAGTCAGAGTTAACCATCAGGAATCTGGATAAACTACAGGGATAATTGCCATCATTATCAAAAGAACAGTCTAATATACTGAAAATCAGTGTCTAACTGTGACGTAGCTAAGGCATTTTATAAGTTATGTCAACTTTGGAGATATAAATTTTGAAACAATTTTGCGAGGGCACGAGGCCTAGCCAAGATGGATCAGTAGCCATATCTGTGCTTGTAGACCTCTGCAGCTTGAAACCGAAATATGTTTGAATTGTTACCTTGTTTTGTCGCTGTGTGTACATCTGATTACACTTTTTAACGTTTTAACAGGAGAGACCGACTGTCAACAATGTCTGACCGTGGCTGTGATGTCTCATAGACTAGGGTTAGAGTAGCTTCCCTTTGACAAAGGGCAGTTACTCTAGCGGGCAGACTGATGGATTGCTGTGAAAGGCAATTAAAAACAACTGTTGTTTTAAGTATATGTTGCTTCGCCACTGTATAAGAAACAGATTTCAGTCGGAACTATATTGGCTACTGTCACTGTCCGACTGACACATCACTTACCCTGTGACGTAATAAATATTAATGCGTGCATTCCATGAAAACGTGCAATGTTTCGGTAATGTATGTGAGAGAGGGAAAGTGATTTTCAAGCACAGAAGTAAAGAATGACATTATATGATAAAGAAGTTATCACGCTTGTGTGTTTGGGGATGGTAAATATCCTGCATTAGGAATAAACATTGTATTTAGCGAGCCTTGGTGTGATAACCTCTATTTATCCATTGATAATAAATATTGATGTTCCTTTACAAGGTTAGGGTTTTGCCGCATCATGATATAAATTAATGTGGTTTGGCATTGTCTCACATCGTCTGTTCTACTTATAGTGTGATTGCAGCCTAAATACAGGATTTATGGCAATGATAACTATTGTTATTACTTCATGCATTAATAGTCTATTAAATTCAGTACAGGGCACAATTTAAGGAACTTTATTTAACATGAAAAGCTAGTTGCAATAGACATAACCTGGTTACACCCTGGTCCCATAAATGTATTCAAGATGAACCAGAGATGCATAAATTAGTCAAAATAAGTACAATCCCAGGTCTCTGATGACTGTGTCCTGAATTACACATAACACAGCAATTTGATGGTAAATAATGCATAGAGGTATTGAGTGTATTCAGAGATAGTTGTTGTGTTGACAAGAAAGGGTTAGTGAGACACAAACTTGAAATATTGTTTTACATGCAATTGGAGCATGTAGATATAAGTATTAGGTTGCATTTTTTCATAAAAGGTTGCACTGGTACTTGTTTTATATAGCTGAATCGAGCCCTGAAATAAGTGTGACCCATGGTTAAGATGGTTAGGTGCTGATTCATTAAAGACAAATGCTATCATGGTGTCCTGTTATCTCGAAGATGAAAGGAAAGATGATCTGCCATCTGTGTGTTTTCACTACAGGTGACAAAGAACACAAAAATAAAAACCCTCCCCTGATATTTTAAAATAATGACATCCTTGCTCCAACCTGAACTGTTCTAATAGGCAAGGACATTGCATGCACTGTCAAGAAAAGACTCTTTGAAGATTATGGATCCCTTTTGATGGCTAAGAGTTACCCACAGCTATGCCTATAAAAATGACTTCATCAATGAGGAGATGTCCTTTAAGTAAGAATAATCTCAAATGCTGACGGTGCAATATTGATTTTTCCCGTATTCACAAAGTTCTTCAGAAAACAGTTGAGGAAATACTTTGTCCTTTCAGTTTGGTATGTTTTTCAGTTTGGTTGTTGTAATTTGATTTTTTAAATACCAAGTTCTTAAAAGAAACTGCTGAGGAAGCAAATGAAGTCCTGTTACATTTTAACCTTTCAGCTGTATCATGCAAGTGACAGTAACTCTGTTAAACTGTAGCTCACCTGATAGTTTCTAAAACTGGGCACAACAGGATAACACAAACATGCTAAACAAATAGAAGATGTCCCTTCAATGTTGTAGATAAACTCTTTCAATACCAACAACCAGAAGCTTTTACTGCACCGAGTTGCCAGAGACTCTGAGGGGATAGATTAAGCCTACATTTATCAAGGAAATTATCTGCTTGTAAAACATCTTTGCTACTACATGTTATAAACCATTTGGAAGGTCCAATTCTACTGTTTTTGAACAGGAAAGTTATGCTTATCACAATATTTAAATAATGCATATTTAAATAAAACTTTATTAAGTTTTTGATTGAAATGTAAGCTAACACACTCATAATGTCCAGATTAAGCACCAAGGAAGTGAAAATTGTGGCATTTTTTGGCAATTGTAAACTGACCTGTCGTTGTATAGCCATGCAAGGAACTGTGTGGATCCCCAGTAGGTGTCTGGTCCAATGGGGCCATCAGACCACACAATGTCAGGCTTGTAAGTGTTGACAAGCTCAAACAACTCGGGCATCGTCTTGGTCTGAAGGAGATAAAATTGACTTTCTTGGCATTTCTAACAATGAGTATTGGACATATTTCTTATACTTTACAACCATGATTCTATCAACATTGATAGAAGATTCGCCAATCTCATTTGACCCATGAAAATCCGGGGTAGAATAGGTCTTCAGCAACCCTTAAAAGGTGACTGCTTGTCGTAAGAGGCGACTAACAGCATCGGGTGGGTCAGACTGACTTGGTTGATGCATGTCATTGTATTCCAATTGCAAAAAAAATTGAAAAAAAATAATCTTAAGGACATTTTGGATGACCAGCAGTCAATGTTCTTGAAAATGGAAAAGAGCTAAGCAATGTGACATAATTGGGGGTAGTATACATGTAGGACAGAGTACCAGATGCAAAGAAATAAGAGGAAATATTATTCTTCGAATTTTATGGTAGGATAATATAAATATTACATGTTCAGGTGTATGGCTATAGTGCATATTATGACCAAATGGAAGAGGGATATAGGCATGAGTGCTGTCCGTAGGTTCTCCTGTGTGTAGCATAACTGTTTGGCCATCGGCTTAACTTTATGTACCTATTGGACATCTGATAAACTTTGCATACCTATTAGGCATCTGATAAACGTTGCATATCTATTGGACATCTTATAAACTTTGCATACCTTTTGGGCATCTGCTAAACTTTGCATACCTATTAGGCATCTGATATAGGATGCATACCTTTTGGGCATCTGATAAACTTTGCATACCTTTTGGGCATCTGATAAACGTTGCATACCTTTTGGGCATCTGATAAACTTTGCATACCTTTTGGGCATCTGATAAACGTTTCATACCTTTTGGGCATCTGATAAACTTTGCATACCTTTTGGGCATCTGATGAACTTTGCATACCTTTTAGGCATCTGCTAAACTTTGCATACCTTTTGGTCATCTGCTAAACTTTGCATGCCTATTGAGTATCTGCTAAACTGTGCATACCAATTGGACATCTGCTAAACATTGCATACCTATTGCTCATCTGCTTAACTTTGCATACCTATTGGACATCTGCTATTATGATTTTCTGATCATGGATTAAGAAGTTTATGGTCCATGCTTCATTAGAGTTCCACATTTAGGATGGATGGCTGCACCGAACTCCAAAGGACTACAATATTCCATGCTTACAGGCTAAATTTGAACAATATATTTCTGCAGGCATTAAAAGTGACTAGGTCCAGACTCGATTATTTACAGACCACCATCAAATAGCTGGAATATTGCTGAGTGAAGCATTAAAACAACAAACAAACAAACGAATTGGGGAGATTACTGGTATGCTTTAAAATAATTTTCAACGCACACCATCATAGTTTGACACAAGTAAATCAAGATCATATCTAGGAGCAGTGTTTGCTTTTTCATTGGTAAAAACCTTGTGTATTTGTGTGTCTGTACAGAACACACATAATGAAAACATTTATGGATAATCATTACATAGGAATTGTCTTACAAGCACAAAGTCCCGAGTTGTGAAGTTGTTGGCAACATCCTTCAGATAGAGAGGATGGAACCACTCATATAGAGAGTGATACAGGCCGAAGTGGAGGTCTGTCTTGCTGCGGATAGCCTGCTCCAGCTCACCTGACAACAAATATATTCATCAGCAATATGACGATATATGTAAGTAATAAAATCTGGATCAGACAATCCAGTGAGTGCTATTGTGAGCATTTATCCATGTTGTTGGGTCCATCTAGTCTGACGGAATATGACCATCCGATTGGTTACATGGAGGATAGTTACATAGAACAAGCACTTAGCTGTATCCACTGAAATACATATCATGTAGTTTCTTACCCACGATGTCTCGTTTAGGTCCAAGCATCTGTGAATTCCAGTTGAAGGAGACATTCGTTGGCCAGTTACAGAAACCTTCATGGTGCTTGGTTACAAACACTATGTACCTATAACAAACAATCAATTTACCAATAACAAACAATCATGGTGTTAAATGAGAGCATGGTCAGGCCGGTCATCTACTGCACTGTTATAGGAATAGTAGCAATTATCTCATACTTAGCTCCAGAGTCTGCAAATAGCTCCGCCCATGTGTTTGCATCATAGAATTCAGCTGTAAAATCTTTAGCAAAATCTGCATATGTCCAATCTGGTTTGTAGTTTTTCTTCATGAAGTCTATGTAGTTAGCTTCCTTCTTCCCCTCCCAGTTTTCCCAGAACCATTCTGAACCATAACTTGGTACGGAGAAGACTCCCCAGTGGATGAAGATTCCAAGTTTAGCTTCATCGTACCACGACGGAATGGGGCGGGAATCTATGGAAGCCCAGTTGGGTTCATAGCGAATTTCTGGACTTTCTTCATTGTGTAAAGCACTTGCTCGGATAGTTACAAGGATGGCTAGGAAAAGAGCACCAGCTGGATGGGTAGCCATTTCAAAAGTGGTGACATGTATTGTTGTTAAAATATCACTGTCAGATGTGTGTTATCATTTCTAGATATGTTGGTGCAGACTGGGTCAGGGTTATAATGTTGAGTATTTTATTTATGTATGATAAAGTGGAGTGGTTGGCCTTGTCCTGCATATATGTATCAGATAAAACACGCCTCCAATGTTTTGGTTGAAAATGTAAAACCGCGTGGGAAAAGTGGGTTTCAAAACTTAACACCATATGTGAGGGTGCAGGTTCGATTCATGTCATGGTATTTTCATGTTGAAAGATTTGTGACTTTTAACCAATCAAAAGTGAAAATTGTGTTCATATCAAGCGGCTACTTTATAAAATGCCAATTGTAAAACCTAAGTATTACAAATGAAATGTAAAACCTCAAAGCAGGTTTGGAATAGAACTGTTTCAAAACCTAGGTTTGGAAGATGAGCTGGTTACTAGGTTTACCCGAGGTTGTGAGGAACCTGATGCAATATAGGGTAACATGGTGATAGGTTTATAGAGAGAGTGGAACCATTCTAACAGGGAGTGAGTGAGTGAGTGAGGTTTTACGTCGCTTTCAGCAATATTCCAGCAATATCACGGCGGGGGACACCAGAAATGGGCTTCACACATTGTACCCATGTCGGGAATCGAACCCGGGTCTTCGGCGTGACGAGCTAGCGCTTTAACCACTAGGCTACCCGACCACCCCTAACAGGTAGTGATATAGGCCATGGTGCAGGTCCATCTTTGATTTCAGTGCTTGAGACATCTCACCTACTGATAACATTTCTTGAAGTAACTGTATTAAGATACATCGTCATTGTCGTATGGTCCGATGTTCATACATTTTGGCCCTCGGTCTATCAAGGTTCATACTCCAATCAACTCATACAAAGTAAAAGTGAATTGTTGAGTAGTTCTGGTTGGAAGCATATAGAATCATGAGACACTAATCAAAATAAGTGAATCTCAGCAGTGGTATTATGAGGTAAGATGGTTGTAGATTGGGTAACCTTCCACTAATCATAGGACAGTTAAGTACATTGCTTTTGTTTTTCTGACAAATCGTTAAGCAACAAAAATATTGTCATCAAATTATGCAACAAGTGATATGTATGCATCAAAATATCACAAGTGGCAATTGTACACTTCAGTTTGCTGTTGCATCATTGGAGAGTTGCATCGTGCAGTGATAAATATCTTATCTTATATTCTAAATTTGTATTCTGCCTATCAACTCCAGTGACAGAGAGGTAATGTTGATGCTCTGACTCACAGAAGAATCAAGTTCAAATCCCAGGATGGAAGGGTTATGCATTCTCTTGATTTCATTTAAGGAATTAGAAGATTTGGTAATCTTTTCTCCAACCAGTGTATCACATACATGGTTTTTATATGACTGCAAAGTTAACCATCAGTCTCAGTAAATGATTGTATTTATTGTATGTTTATTTTTTTAAATTATTTAATTTTCTTCTTATACTTGTCATGTCCATTTCATTAAATATATAAACAAACTAATAACATTATATTTTTTTATTTGGTATTAACATCAATTAACCATTTAAGAAAGTATATTCATGTGAGGAAAAGATAATTGTGTATTTGAATTCCCATGTCCAGCAGAGAATTCCTATAATCATCAAACAAAATGAAGCATCAACAATAAGTATCTCCCCATATTTTAGTTTTTGATGCCAGTGAGTTTGAAGACCCAGCCCCATTGGCATGGCATCTGGTTGACAGGAATGGCAGGAACGTTAATGGTCATCCCGCCTGATGACCGCTTGTCCCAAGTGAACTGGCCCATGTAGCCAAGAAGGGTGACCGTCGTGCTGGTAGTGGGCACTGGGGCACTAAGGACAAGGTTATTCATGGTTCCAGTAGGCCAAGAAAATATGACAGCATAGACGAAGCCTTCATTCTGTGTGTACCTGAAAAATAAAGAACACAAGGCATGATAATTGAGGACTTTTCTGGCATACCTGATCTGCATGTTTTATAATCATGGAAAACTGTTTTACTTCATTTATGGTTATGGGAGGTGCTCAGACAAGAAAGAGTCAGACATTGTTGTAAAAATTTACATCTGTTTTATTTATATCAAATATACGTAGAGGAAAGAAGAAAATGTATTAAAAGTATGATTTATTGTTATTTATGCTTTCATGATCTGTGCAGCTTTTCAATCCATAAAACTTATTTCACAAAATAATGTTTGTATTTCCAAAGCTTTCACGGGGGAAATATAAATTCTCCCGCACACATTCAGCATGACACCGTCACAGAGTAATCATGTAACACTGCATCATGCAGGACTCAAGTTTCAAGTCATGGGGTATTTACTCACATGTTATTGTAGCAGGGAGTGGAGTCATCCCCCAGATGACATCCTTACCTTGTCAGCTTGCTGACGGGGTTAACCTCTTTGGTCATGTAGACAAGGCGTCCGACCTCGGATCAGAAGGTCTGTGGTTCGAATCCCATCACGGGACTCGGAAAGTTTATGGCCGCTACATTATCATTCACATTAGGTATTGGTAGTTTCTTTTTGGATATGTCACCTAACCTCACGACAGTGATACACATGTCTAGCTTTGTTCTGTGTTCACTGCTGTCAAGTTCATGTATACATGATGCGTGCAAAAGGCTTAGTAATTTGGTTAAATATGCGAACTGTTGAGTTTTCATGATGATTTGTTTTGTGTATTTTACTCAAGTATGAAGGTCATCAGGAGCTGGTACTATGCTTACCACACTCGTGGAGTGACGGTGTCATTCTGATGTGACCAAGGTTTGCTGCCGTAGATAGCTTCTCCATTGACCTTCAGCCACTGTCCCATACCTCGCAGTCTCTCCTCATAGATCGGTGTAATCATGCCGTACTTGGTAGGACCAACATTCATAAGCATGTTGCCACTGCAGCTGTTTTAGGGGAATAAAAAGAGTACATTAATGTTGATGATATGATGACATGCATCAACCATGTCAGCATAGAATCTGACCACTCGATCTTATTAGTCACCTAATTTAAAAGAATGCAATGTCATGCAGGTTTAGTCACTTTAATTCCTCAGAAGTAAACTAGAACTTCCAAAGTATTTTAGAAATATCTTTGAGAGCACAAGATATTTTGAAGTTACTGGGTTTGAGAAAACAGGTAGGATTGAGATCACTGCTTTGAAGTTTATTGATCATTGAATTTTGTTTAGAAACAAACAATGTCAGTTTTGAAACAATCGAATATATTTAACTGAAGGGTTTGATTATGGGCATCAGCTGGTTTTTTATGCGACTTACCTTACAACCACAGCCTATAAATTGATATTGATAGGAACAAGTTCAACCCTTGTACAAATACAGATAATGGTAATGGAATCTCATATACCTTACAGTTTCCACAAATGTTTCAATGATTTCCTCCATGGTGAGAAAGTCCTCGAGGCTGGCTTCTCGGCGAAACCCCCAGGACTTCTTGTCAATTGTCATGGCATTCTCCCACTTCTTGGGCTGAAGTACACCTGAAATTGTTCTTTAAGATATCATTAGGTCAACTGTATGTGGGGGAACGGGTGGTCCAGTTGTCTGAGGCGCCGCGATTTGCTGTGCAGAGTTGCCTCCCTTGGTCACGCCAGAAACCTATGATTGTGGGTTCGAATCCCGGTTCGCCCGATTATGTTTCTAGGTTTGTCAGCACCATACCCGTGCTCATGGGTTTCACCAAAGTGGTAAACGTCTGAGACCTGCATCACTATGGGCTTTCCTCCCACATTAAGCTGACACGCCGCGATATAACTGGAATACATGTACTATTAAAAGCAGTGTTAAACCCAACTCACTCCAACTGTATATTCTTCATAATGTCCAGATTTGAACAATTAGTTATGAGGAGGTGGGAATCAACTTCAAGAAGGGACACAAAAGGAGATGGGTTTACCTGGGTTGTACCTGTCTGCACATGTGTAGACTCCCCCGTGATGACACAGTATATTGTTGCTTCCCCAACGGTCATTTGTCACCACAGTGTCCTTGACAGGACTGAAGAGAAAGATGATTTGGTTGTTTCAGGTTGTACCAGGTGTGGTAAATGCAGTAAAGAAAGTTGATACTTTTCTGTTGACACTGAATCATTTCCTCATATGCTTTTGTGATGAAACCTAAACAATGCACATCTACCCCTGTTTAACAGGGTAATTGGATTAGATTTTAAATATACCTTATAAGTGTCTCCAAAATGTTGAGTTCTTTTTATACAGAACTCAGATCATCTTTAAATTATATGAAAATATGTTGTAGGGCTGGGACGGGTAACTCGGGTACCCGGGTTGGGTGGGTACTGAGTAGGACCCGGGTGCCCACAGGACTACCCGGACCCGTGGTTAGTCACGTGATATATTGTCTAATGACTAAAATTATCTGGAACTCTATGGTTACACTACAAGTCACAAATGCTGCATTTCTTTCTGACTATGAACCTATTCCTTCTGATTTTTCATATGGTCGAATAAAGATATTACTTAATTCAACTTCAGTGTAAGCAGGACCAGATTGTTTAATACATGTATCTAAAACGTTTTGCCAGGGCGATGTTTAAAAAGGTTCCCAATGGGACATTTTGAGACATCTCCTGAGACCTGCAGTGGGTATCTAGGTAGGGTAGGGTAATAGGGGGGCTGGTACCCTGGTAGTAAAGTTGGAATCGTCCCAGCCATAATATGTTGTGTAATATCCTCTTGGCAGTAATAGCCCATTGATGTGCATAAGTGTGACCTGTGGTAACAATGATCATTAGGTGCTGATTCATTAAAGACAAATACTATCATGGTGTCTTGTTATCTCAAAGATGAAAAGAAAGATGATCTGCCACCTGTGTGTTTTCACGACAGACGACAAATAACACAAAAACAAAAACCCTCCTCTGATATTTTAAAATAATGACATCCTTGCTCCAACCTGAACTGATTCTGACAGGCAAGGACATCGCATGCCCTTTCAAGAAAAGACTCTTTGAAGATTATGCATCCCTTTTGATGACTAAGAGTTACCCACAGCTATGCCTATAAAAATTACTTGATCTTTTAGGAGATGTCTTTTCAGCTGAAGAGAATTTTCTCAAATGCTGACAGTGCTTTATTGATTTGTCCAGTGTTCACAAAGTTCTGCAGTTTTGTTGTTGCGAAATGATTTTGAATATTAAGTGCTTAACAGAAACTGCTCTACAAGCAAATGATCTGAGTGTTAAACTGTGGATCACCTGACATTTTCTAAAATGGCCACAACAGGGTTAATACAAAGATGTCCCCACACATGAGCTATCCTCACTCTATATAAATTAAAATACACATGCATTAGTGCTTTAGAGTGCCGGTATTTTCATGTTCAGCAATGTATTGCATATACTTGTTTTTGTATGTTTCTGTTGAGCAAAAATAACCTTTTTCATGATTGGCATGTTTTAACTCTTTCAACTCTAACTCAACCAGAAGCTTTTTTCTGCTGTGACACTGAGTTCTCAGAGACTCTAAGGTGATAGATGAAGCCTACATTTATCAAGGAAATTATCTGCTTGCAAAACATCTTCGCTACTACAAGTTACATACCAGGTTAAAAGGTCTTATCCTTCTGTATATATATGTAAAAGTTATGTTTATCGTTAAATTGTGTTCTTCTGAATGTTTTAAGCCGGTCATTGCGACTTACATAAAAACTTTGTTGATGTATGGTGTGAGGCTGCAATCTGTGACACAGATTTCTGATGCATATATTTTGGCATTGAGCATCATGTCCGAGTCTAAAAATTGAAGCGACGAAAGTCAAGATGTCATCTGACTCACATTACTCTTAATCACATGAAAAGCTGGAAATAATGACTTTGAATTAATTTTGACAACTTTTATATATATTTTTGTTGATTTTATTTTTACTTATATTATTTATCTGAAGATGTTCTAGAGACATCTTCATTTTGCTCCATGACATGTTTGTGTGGATATGTGACCCAGAAATTGTTTTCCAATAACATTGCAGGAATAGTTTATAAATTTTTTTATCTATGGATAAAATATGCTAAATTGAAATGACATACATATTTTCAGACATTGTGATAAGTGATAGATTTAATAAGTGAATGATATCACAGGTAGGTTAATAAAGTTGTATACTATTTTGACGTGAATACGGCTTGGTCTGCGATGTTTGGGTACACATAACATCATGACAGGCCAACGGTGTTGAATGAGCTAAATCAGATTAAATATCTGGGATCACATTGTGAAGGCACCAATGCTTAGACAATCCATGTTCTTGTCCATGTCTCAATTTTATAGTCTTGTACTTTCAAAGATGTGGACATTTAAGAGGTCCTTTTGGATAGACATTCAGAAAGGCAACAGTCAATGAATGCACCATTGGTTGATGTGAGCTAAACTACAAAACTGACCTGTCGTTGTATAGCCATGCAAGGAACTGTGTGGCTTGCCAGTAGGTGTCTGGTCCATAGGAGCCATCAGACCACACAACGTCAGGCTTGTAAGTGTTGACAAGCTCAAACAACTCGGGCATTGTCTTGGTCTGAAGGAAATAACATTGACTTATTGACATTTCCAACAATGAGTAATTGTTCATGTATGTTAATGCTAGTTTAAACCATGATCCTATCAACTTCTGACATTGTTCTATAACATTACTAAATTTAAAAAAAAGATCTTTAGGACATGTTGGATGACCAGCAGTTAATGTTCGAGAAAATGAACTGACATCAAGTCCTGATTTTTTTGTTTTTCATGTTGAAATTGAAGTGTGGTATGTCAGGTAAGTAAAATTACTTACAAAACCTAATGGCTGACACGTATGACACCTTGTATTTGTGGGTCATTGATAGCTAAACCATACGACAATGTTGAGGTAGTATAGGTGTAGGATAAAGTACCAGATGCTTAGAAATAAGAGGAAATATTGTTCTTCAAATTTCATGGTAGGATAATAAAAACATCACATGTTCAGGTGTATGGCTATGGTGTGTATTATGACAAAACAGAAGAGGGATACAGGCTGTCTGTAGGTCCTTCAGTGTGTAGCATCACTCAACATCTGTTTGAACATGTGTGAACTTTACATACCTATTTGGCATCTGATAATCTTGGCATACCTATTGGGCATCTGCTAAATTTTGCATACCTATTGGGCATCTGCTAAATTTTGCATACCTATTGAATATCTGCTAGACTTTGCATTTCTTTTGGACATATATATGTTAAATTTTGCATACCTACTGGGCATCTGCTAAACTTTCCATAGCTATTGGACATCTGCTAAACCTATTAGGTATTTATGTCCAAAGATAATAAGCAACCAACTCCGTCAAGACAGTCCATCATAGTTCAGCTAAGAACTTTAAGCCGACCCTTGTACATATCCATGCATGTAAATAAAGATGATGTCTTGGAGTGGTGTTTATTTATCAATTTATCAATGGTAATAACCTTGTGTATTTGTAGGCGTGTACATCACTCACATTATGAAAGCAAAGGGATAATTACACAGGAATTGTCTTACATGCACAAAGTCCTGAGTTGTGAAGTTGTTGGCAGCATCCTTCAGATAGAGAGGGTGGAACCACTCAAACAGAGAGTGGTACAGGCCGAAGTGGAGGTCTGTCTTGCTGCGTATGGCTTGTGCCAGCTCACCTGACAACAAATATATTTATCAGTGAATTAGTTTGTTGGTTTAGTGCCACACTCAGCAATATTACAACTGAAGATGACACCTCTGTTGATAACCAAATCTGGTCCAGACTATCCAGTGATATTGTCAGCAATTACCCATGCCATTTGGTTACATGCAGTCAACCAGTCACTGAGTCTGACCATCCGATCCATCATGTCACATAGGATTAATCCACATAGAGGGTTGACTACCTGGCAGATCATTCCACTGACCAAGCACTTACTTGTAGCCACCCCAGCACATATTATGTTGCTTGTCCCCCGCCATAATATTGCTTTAATATTGCTTAAAGCGCTGTAAAACCATACTCACTCACTCACTCTTACCAACAATGTCTCTTTTCGGTCCAATCATCTGTGAGTTCCAGTTGAAGGAGACATTTGTTGGCCAGTTGCAGAACCCTTCATGATGCTTGCTTACAAATACAATGTACCTATAACAAACAATCATGGTGTTAAATGAGGGCATGGTCAGGCCGGTCATCTACTGCACTGTATAGGAATAGTAGCAATCATCTCATACTTAGCTCCTGAGTCTGCAAATAGCTCCGCCCATGTGTTTGCATCATAGAATTCAGCTGTAAAATCTTTAGCAAAATCTGCATATGTCCAGTCTAGTCTGTAGTTGTTCTTCATGAAGTCTATGTAGTTAGGTATCTTCTTCCCCTCCCAGTTTTCCCAGAACCACTCTGAACCAAAACTTGGTACTGAGAACACTCCCCAGTGGATGAAGATTCCCAGTTTAGCTTCATCGTACCATGACGGAAGGGGGCGGGAATCTATGGAATCCCAGTTGGGTTCATAGTGAACTTCTGGAGTTCTTTCATTGTGCAAAGCACTTGCTCGGACAGTTACAAGGATGGTTAGGAAAATTGTACCAGCTGGAAAGGAAGCCATTTCAACAGTGGTGACATTTGTTGCTGTTAAGATAGGACTGTGATAGTTATCATTTCTAGGTTTGTGGGTGTAATCTGGGTCAAGGTCATGATGTTGATTATTTTCAGATGATGTGCTCATGTGTAACAACCGGACGATTTATATGAGAATGCATGTTTTACTATATCTGCTCACAACACACAATAAAGTAACATGCACAAATATATATGCTGTCTACTACATTATTTTTTAGTTTGCAATTTGAAATATGTTTTAGTAATAATTTTTTTGATATATTATTTGTAGTATTTTGTTCTGTGACAAATGTTAATAGTAAAAAATTGATACAAAATGTATCATGCCTGGTGAAGAGTGTAAAGGAGGTGCCTTGGGAGTGAGTGTGAGTGAGTGAGTGAGTGAGTGAGTGAGTGAGTGAGTGAGTGAGTTTGGTTTAATGTGGGAGGAAAGCCCGAAGTGATGCAGGTCTCAGACGTTTACCACTTCGGTGAAACCCACAAGCATGGGTATGGTGCTGACAAACCTAGAAACCCAATGGGGGCGAACCGGGATTCGAACCCACAATCATAGGTTTCTGGCGTGCCCAAGGGACGCAACTCTGCACAGCGAATCCGGCGCCTTAGACAAATCGGCCATCCATGCCCCCTGATGCCTTGGGAAGTCATTTGATGTTATGTACACTTAGGTTGGATGAAGCATTTTCTTCTAGGCTTCTAATTTATCCTGTTACCTGATTTGAAAAATAGGTTTCAAATTACTCTGTGAACTGCCCCACCATTGAATAGCTTGCAATGTTCACTGAAGGCAGCATGTTTCAAATATTTTGATTTTCACTTAACCCCATGCCTCAAAATGCAAAGTGTATCTTAATGATTAATTTATAAACCGTCTGAAAAGTTATTTTTCATGATGAATTTATTTATAAGAATTGATTTCAGTATGTTTTTGCATTTATGGAGGTATAAAAGTGAGAAAACAGTGTTTATACTTATGTCTCCATAAACACAAAATGATTTATGTCTATTCTTAAATATTACATAACCAGTGTTCCCGTTTACGTGCAATTACCAGTTTTTACAGGTGAAATTAGGCTTAGACCGGTAATTCATGTGACTGTCGTATGTATGTAGTACCTTATATATCTTTGTTGTTGAATATTTTGGCGATATTTGTGTAAGTATATTTTTCGAACTAAGTCAGCTTGACTGTTACCATCAGGACTTCCCCATGTCTAATTTTACTGCAAGGAAATAATATTTCGCTTTGCTTTGAGGTAAAATATGTATTTGTAGCGACTTAGTCTTGAACCAAAGTGAAATAATAATGAAAAGCAAGAAAATTGTGACTGAACTTTGTGTGAATGATGTGTAGACTTAACTAAGTTACTTCAGAGATGACATCATTTCATTTGTCACCTTTGAACTTACACTGCGTTGAAAATGATGTTGAAAGAATTAAAATCAGGTATTTTTCATATGTTTTTATATTTGTTAAAAGTTGGGACTGACATAAATTGGGAGGACTGGTAATTTTTCGAGTTGCCTGTCCACCAGGATTGACAGTTTCAAAAGCCAGTGATAACCAATGGGATTTTATCCAATGTTTAATCTCTATAAATATGCAGCATTCGTTGGAATTTCACTTTCTTGGTACAATCTTTTTCTTCAGAATATATGATCAACACTGAAATGATGAAATCTGGTCCTGATGAGCCTTGCATAAATGATGGGCAGCTTGTAGAATCGGTGCAAGTCGAATCAGGCCAGATTCATGATTTATTTTGTTACCCTGCCCGTCGCTCAGCATTTAGGAGGGAATACAAGGACTGGCTAGCTCGGATTCAGTATACTGTGTCTGAGTGGGGTATCATGTTATGCTGTGGCATGGTATCTCATGCATGCATGCACATCTGAATGTAAGTGCAATTATCTTCATGTCAACTCACCTCATGATTTCGTCAGTGTTTCTACATTTTGAGTTTCTGTGTGATATGTATATTCAGTGTTAAGGGGTCCCTAGAAGTTTTCTGATCCAGCGTTTTAACTATAGGTCAAGCCTTGCTGACAAGGTTGACTGCTTTGATCATGTCTACAAGTAGTATAGGTAATGATGGTTCTGCTGCAACCCCACTGGAGCCAGATTTATATACCTATACTGCTACTACAGAGGGAATTTGTTATGCAAAAATGATGATGCGATTCAACGATCATCTTGATACTAAACTAATTTGTAATGAAAATATTCTCTATTATTTTTACTCATACGCATACCATTATTTTGAACAAAGTGATATTCAACAGTTCTTCGTTCATTTTACTAGGAGACAAGACTATATACTCTTTTTCGAAATTGGAAAGAAACAAATGATGACCATATTTGGTTGGTTTGACATCACTGATATAATATATACCCTGTGGTAATTCTCGACATTTGATTGGCTTGTAATTCTCTTTTATTATATACTTATGTAAGCATTCGTCTAAATCATTGTAGTGTGATCCAACGTGATCCAACAATCTATTTTTAATCTCCAACCAGTTCTTTGGTTTTGGCACAGAATAATTGATGCGCTTGTTGTCTCCCCTGTTCTATGAACATTTTTTTCTCATCTTCACTAATACCACTGGTCTTACGAGAATTGGATCCTGCTTCATTACGTTGTATTTGGTTAGTTCTGACAACACTAAATGAAACTCATCCTTGGATATCTTACAATCAGCTAGTGCTGTTGAAATATGATCATCAATGCTGTTCAACTTTGCTTCGGCGAGTATCAGAATATTATCATGTTTTAATGCTTTCTTTTGCAACTTACGAGAAATACATTTTATCACTATTCCTGCCAGTCCTGAGACTCCGGCTGCTATTTCCATACCAAGTATGATAGGCACGGTGATTAGAAAACCAACACCAGCTACACTGAGTCCATTAGGGGTCAAAGCAATTCGTCAGTCTGTAACTATAACTAATAACTCGAGTACCATTGATCAAAATCAAACACTTCAGTTTTGCTTTCCTAATCTCGGCGCTCACGATGTGTTAGTTCCAGGAACTGCCTGACTATCATTTACAATTAATTTGACTTCTACTGACGCTAACAGAGAGCTCGTTCAGAACATAGGTCGTGCGATTGTTAAGAAAATTGCGATTAAAATTAGCGGTAATGAGGTTTTGAGTATTGACGACAACGATGTATACTTCTGTATACATGGATCTCTGGAGAACGGCTATAGAATGGGAAAACTTACAGTACCAAGGTATTTGTAATCAGAACACATTGAGACTGCATGTGGGTGCTGATAGTGGTGGTAATACCATCGTAGAAGATAAGACTGTTGCTGATGCATTAGGTAACCGATTCTTTATTCCGCTCGACTTTGAATTACTAGATAGTCACATGCCCTTCTATCAAGCATCTCTAGGCGATAGGTTAGAATGCGAACTCACTTTTAATGACGACGGCAGAGTAATCAAAGCTACTGAAGATGCTACTAGCTAATCTGTTGACAATATCTCACTGGAGTATGATATGATAACAGATCCTGAATTAGCCAGACAAATTCGTAACCAGTATACCGGACGTTTAGCCCAACACCCATCGACACCCAAAGATCACCAGGAACAAAAGAGATACGACGTGGAATATCAATCTAATCGTCCCCACGATATTGTTGAAGGGTATTTTAATGTTGTTTGAGGACCCTTCTGAAGCATTTGCAAGAGATACCGAGAAGTTCTACAACCCCAAGATTACAGAAGTAGAATTGACTATCGAGGGTGTACCTAATGAACTATATAGTCAAGGCATGCGAGCATTTCAACAGTGGGATAATATTAAAAAACTCCCTTCTATAAAATGAAGCCCAGAAGTTAACGCGGTCATGAAAGATCTGTCTCTCGGGGATGTATTGGTGGCTGAATTCCTTACCATGAAGTATGCGCTATGGCTCGACATGCGAACCACAGATGATGACCAACTACACGGCAATGGGCGGAGAATAGAAAATGCTAGTGAGGTGTTACAATACAGATAATGAAGCTCTTCGAGATGGACGCACAACAGTCCCACAACTTAATATACAGAATGGAAGATTCGTGCAAGCGATCTATTAATAATCTTTTACCTAAAGAACCGCACTGCACTATCATCTGCGGGCAAACGGGTTGCAGAAAACAGCTTTTATTCTAGATATTTTACAAAGTCATTATCGGGATGTTTTCAACCATATTATTATTCTGTGCCAGACTATAAGCGTTAATAACGCATAATGAATGATCCCATGGTGTACAAAGTTGATCCGGCCGATCGTTTACAAGGCTGTTTACGAGTATGTCACGAAAAATACAAAGGAGATTCAACCCTTTTCATAATAGACGACTGCAGTGTGAGTAAAGAACTTCGCTAAATATGAAAGCATATTTAGCATTCTCCAGTCGTCATATGGAGCAAAGCGTTTGGGTACTTACTCCAAAATACAACTGTGTCCTGAAAGATCTCAGAAAGTAGACCAAATGGGTAGCCCTGTTTCATTGCAAAGATCAAGATTCATTTGAGGAATGTCTACGCAAAAATGATGTTATTTCTACCAAGATAAAGTAAAAAAACTGTTAGCGGAAACGAAGCACTGTAAACTCGTATTAAAAACCGATCAACCAGCTGCTTATGCAATTGCTTAGCAAAAAAAGCAAAAATATAGCACCTGCTGAGAAGAAATTATAGCAACAAATGGCAAAATTATAGCAACATTATAGCAAATTATAGCAAAATTTACCAAATATAGCAAAATATTGCAAAAATATGATAAATTGAACATTAGCAGTTATTATGTAAGAATGTGGTTTGAAATCCTCATTCTTTTACAACAGTTTATTATTTCGGGCTGTATTGGATATGCAATATTCCATTACATATGTTAGACTTAAATATCTCCTTAGGTATTATATTATAGAATGCGATGACTTTATCGAACAACTGCTCAAAGATGAGCCTGTAATTACCGATCAACATACAGATAAACATAGAGAAAGACTCGCGGCTTTGGTAGCCCGTGGAAAATTTTACCAATATTTGGGGGGAAATTGCACCACTGAAAATTGAAAACATGACCGATGAAGAATATAAAAAACTGTACACACATTACGAGTCTAGACTGGGAGCTACCATGACTAAAACAATAGGTTTGGCTATGTGACAACTATACACAGATGTAGCTAGTACGTTTCTTCCTATCCCGGCAGATAATCGCATGTATTTATACGAATCTCTAGAGAAAGTTTGAAGGCCCATCCAATTGTCAGTCATTGATGTCATTGTGAAGGTCCATCCAATTGCCAATCATTGATGTCATTGTTAAGGTCAGTCCAGCTGTCAACCATTCATGTCATTGTGAAGGCTAATCCCATTGTTAACCATATATGTCTTTGCGAAAGCCCATTCCACTGTCTACTATTTATGTAATTATGAAGGCTCATCCCATGATCAACAATTTATGTTTGTCATTTTGAAAGCCCTTCCCATTATAAACCATTTTTATCCCCCGCCGGGCCAGAATGGCCGAAGGGGGATTATGTCGTGGCGCAGTTTGTCCATCCGTCTGTCTGTCCGTCCGTCCGTCTGTCTGTCCGTCTGTCCCACAGAGGGTACTAAGCTTGTGAAATCAACTCCTCCTGCAGTTTCCAGAGAATATCCCTGAAACTCTACACACAAGATGTCGACATGTTGATGATATGCATATCGCAGTCCCGTTTCATTTCGACTAATTTTGACAGAGTTACTGCCCCTGTTTTACGGAGCTTCATTTGCATAATTGTGAGAGAGGGTAATAAGCTTGTGAAATCAACTCCTCCTCCAGCTTTTAGAGAATATCCCTGACACTCTACACACAAGATGTTGACATGTTGATGATACACATATCGCAGTCCCGTTTCATTTCGACTAATTTTGACAGAGTTACTGCCCCTATTTTACGGAGCTTCATTTGCATAATTGTGAGAGCGGGTACTAAGCTTGTGAAATCAACTCCTCCTACAGTTTACAGAGAATATCCCTGACACTCTACACACAAGATGATATGCATATCGCAGTCCCATTTCATTTCAACAAAACTTGACAGAGTTCTCTACTGCCCCTGTTTTACGGAGCTTCATGAAATCTACTCCTCCTAAGGTTTCCAGAGGATATCACAATATCTAACTATAACTATAACTATAGTTAGTTTCCTTGTATAAAGCTTTTGTGGGTGAGCTACATCCTTATGGCATTAGCATTCAGACAGGATTACTCCCTACAAAATGTTCTGCGCAATTTGTTTCAAATGCAGTGCCATCTACTGTTGTCATTAAAAAAAAATACAAAGAAAATATTAACTCATTAAAAAAATTCATGCAGGGGATGTTGTGCTCTCAGAGCACTCTTGTTGTCATTGAAATGGATTATCTCATTGTCAACCAATTATTTCATTGTGAAGGTCCATCCAATTATCAACCATTTGAGTCATGTAAAGACTCGTCAACCATTTGTCATTTATCATTTTAGGTTTCTAAAGATTTAATATGTGTATTATATTGAACAAAAACACAAACAAACCAGATATAGTGGCCATAATGTTTATATGTATGCAGTCACAGTAGCATTAATTTAATCAGAACAACTTTCATTTGTTACACAGAAAATGTAACTTAAATAACATAATGTCTATATGTAAACCCATCCCATTCTGAAGGTTCATCCCATTAATTGTCAACCAATTATATCATTGGGAATGCCCATCCCATTCTCCCAAGTCAACCATATATGTTTATGTTCTTCCATAGACTTGTCTAGTTGTCAAACCATTTTTGTCAGTGCGAAGACCCATCCCCACTGACATGGCATCTCGTTGACAGTGATGGGAGGGATTGTGATACTGATTCCTTTGGGTGACGCATGCTGCCAGGAGAAGCTTCCAGTGTACCCAAGGAGGCTGACCTGTGTTCCATTAGTTGGCAAAGCTGACCCAAGGTGGAGCTGTCCTGGTTGTGGCCAGTTCAGCACAATGGCGTACACGATCCCAGCTCTCTGCGTGTACCTGAAGAGAGACAAAGCAAGCGATTTAGATCTGAAAATCAAAATCAGGCTAGAAAAATCATCAGTAACATTGCATGAAAAGTTGTCATCTAAATATTTGGGTAATTTTTGTTAAAGTTTCTAAAATTTAACATTAACTTGGCTGGAAAAATGAAATTTGATGATATAAAACAGGAATGATCAGAAAGATGACATATCCCCCCGGCAACTGTCTGTAAAGTAACCACAAGTAAATGTGCAATTCTGTATGTAATGAGTTAAGAGTTGAATCTTCTTGAAGAAGCATACATTGTTTACCCACAAAAGATCCACCATGGTCGCATCCATATGAAATGGAAAGTAGAACAAGTGTGTTTCTGTGGCTTTTTTATGCAAACAAATGACAAATTACAAGAAACAATAACTAAACAAGCATATAGTCAACAAAGTCATCTATATCCCCCGCCCATTTTAACACGTTATGGTCCCAAACCAGGAAACTGACCCAACATTTCTCTTAGCCCATCTCAAAATAGCTGCAATGGAAATTCTATACTAAACATTTCTAAAACTCCTGAATATCAAATGGCACCAGTTCGGTATGTGCTTTATATATAGACATGTAATGTTTGGCAAGGAAATATTTAACAGTTTATTTGATATACTCTATAAGTGAACCCACCCTATATTAAAACTTAAATCCAACTTGTTTCCATGGAAACATAAAAAAAAAAAAAATTTTGAATTCCTAAATAGCAAAAGGCACCAGTTCGGTATGTGCCTGGTAGACATGCAAAGTTTTGTAAGAAAGTATTAAACGTTTTTTTAGTTACGTTCCGGAAATGAACACCACCCTTATAGAACCTAAGTCCAACTTGTTGCCATGGAAATGTAATAAAAATTTATAAATTTCTAAATAGCAAAAGGCACAACTTCACCAACTTGAGTGATATAAATGCAAAGTTTAATGAAGAAATTTTTAACAGTTTCAGAGTTCTGCTCCGGAAACAAACATCACTCACAAGCATGTCCGACATGCTTTCAAGGAAATTGGAAAATAAAAAAATTGGAAAAATTCCAAAATAGCAAAAGGCAGGCACAACTTCATCACTTAAGTGATATAAATGCAAAGTTTGATGAAGAAATATTTAACGGTTTTTGAGTTCTGCTCTGGAAACGATTCAGACAGACGGATAGACGGACATTATATGCCGGGGGGATAAAAACAAAGCAGATGACAATAAAACCGATCGCCCAAATGCATTATGGCAACGGCCTTGAAAACCGGATCCACGTGAGTTCCGTGCAAACTGAAATGCACATGCGTTCCCCCATTTCTTGCCCTATAAAATCCACCCAGATCAGATAACATTAATTCATGATTGAATTGCTACCACATGCCAAGATTGACAAGAAATCAGCGACACCATGTCTTTGCGATTGCAAACTGGACAAACCACCCGGCAAGTAGAAAATGCATTTCAAGTCACCGTAAGGACCATATACAGGCTCCAGCAATGTTACCAGACCACCCAAACTACAGATGACCGACCACGTAGTGGAAGACCAAGGGTCACCACCCGACGTCAGGATCGTCAGATTGTGTGACAACATCTTCAAGATCACTTTGTTACTGCTGCGTAAACTGCTTGACAGACCATGGGGACACACCAGCGACACATTAGAACGGACGCCGTGCATCGACGATTGACGAGCAGAAACCTCCACTGTCACAGGTCACACCGAGGACCCATTCTGATACGTCATCGCCAGGACCGTCTTCAGTGGGCAACACAGCACCAGCATTGGCACCACCAGCAGTGCAGAAGATCCCTCTTCTCAGACAAGAGCCGTTACTGTATCTCAACAGCAGATGGATGGGAGAAGGTCTGGCGATGGTGTGGGGAATGTTATTCGGATGCTTGTGTTGTTGAGAGAGACTTGTGGACTCGTGTTGTGTTTCACTTTAAGAACATTTGACACTTTAATTTCAACCTTGATGATCAGTTTTGCCAAGTTTCATCTTTTTAAATTGTCTCAAAGTATGTATACAGTGTTTGGACAAATAAGGTTTCTTGCGGTTCAGTATATAAAGTACCTATCACACGAGACCCGTGAAGATTCCAAGGTAGAATAGGTCTTCAGCAACCCATGCTTGCCATTAAAGGTGTCTGTGCTTGTCGTAAAAGGCGACTAACGGGATCGGGTGGTCTGGCTCGCTGACTTGGTTGATGCATGTCATCGATCCCAATTGCGTGGATCGATGCTAATGATATCAATCACTGGATTGTCTGGTCCAGATTCGATTATTTACAGACAGCCGTCATATAGCTGGAATATTGCTGAGTGCGGCGTTAAACAACAAACCAACCAACCAACCAATCTATCAATCGCCTGGTGTGACTGTGTCATCCAGGGCCAGCCAAGATGTTGAATACATAAAGTACCTACCACACTCCTGGTGTGACTGTGTCATTCTGGGCCAGCCAGGGTCTGGAGGCGTAGATGGCCTCCCCATTCACCTTCAGCCATTGTCCCATCTGACGCAATCTCTCTTCATAGATCGGACTGATCGTGCCATATTTGGTTCCCCCCACATTGATCAGCAGGTTCCCTCCGCAGCTGTATTTGAAAATATGAGTATAAATGTTTTAATTGTTATGATGCATATGTGGGGCACAAGTGGCCCTTTTGATTAAGCTGTGCAGAGTTGCATCCTTTAGCGATGCCAGAAACCCAGAAACTGGGTTCAAGACCCAGTCCTGATAATTTTCTTATGTTTGGCAGCACCAACTCATCCTTGTGGGTTTCACCAAAGTGGTATCATCTACGACCCCGACCACCTTGGGGTGTATTCAGTGTTCTAGTCACTGACATACTGTTCTTAACTCACTGATACATGTGCTTGTCATAAGAGGCGACTAACGGGATCGGGTGGTCAGGCTCGCTGACTTGGTTGATGCATGTCATCTATCCTAATTGGGTGGATCGCTGCTCATGATGTCAATCGTTGGATTGTCTGGTCCAGACTCGATTGTTACCAGACAGCCGTCATATAGCTGGATTATTGCTGAGTGCGATGTTAAACAACAAACCAACACTGATAAATGGAGTTTCAGCACATTCTGTGCAATTGTACCGTTGACAGTGTGGGACAATGCTCATAATATCAACCATTTACTACGTATGTCACATTACATTTATATTTGTATCACTACAGTTTAAGTGTACAACCTGACAGTCTCAACCAGCACTGTTATAATCTCGTCCATGGTCAGATAATCATCCAAGACAGCCTCGCGACGGAATGCCCACGATTCCTTGTCAATTGTCATTGAATTCTCCCACTTTCTTGGCTGAAGTACTCCTGTAGCATGTAAGAAGAATCAGCTGTAGTGTCTCATCTCAAGTGTTCATGCATGCAGTCATGGTCACAACACCATTTGGAAATCAGTGAACAGACATTATTCCGAAATAAAGGTGATTTGATGAAATATTTTGACTTCAGAATTTACAGAATCTATTCATCAACTGGAATTCAGTAATCACAATCTACATACAAGGGATGCTTGTCATAAAAGGAGACTAACGGGATCGGGTGGTCAGGCTCGCTGACTTGGTTGATGCATGTCATCGATCTCAATTGCGTGGATTGATGCTCATGATATTTATCACTGGATTGTCTGGTCCAGACTCGATTATTTACAGACCGCCGTCATATAGCTGGAATATTGCTGATTGCGACGTTAAACAACAAACCTGACAAACCAAAAAACATACAAGGGCATTTGGCACTCTATTGTAAGCTTCTTTTTATTTGACTTTTCAATAGACATCATCAATGTCAGTTCCAAGTCAGGTCAGTCTTGGAAGATACCCTACTTGTTTGTATAATTTCTTCATATGAGAGGGATGGAGGGTAGCCCAGTAGTTACAGTGTTCACTCATCACACTGAAGGCCTGTTCTATTCCCCACATGGGTGTCCCCCTACCATGATATATGCTGGATCATTGCTAAAAGCAGTGTGAAACCATACTCACTCACTCTTCTTGTTAAGTATTTTAGATTTTTACCTGGATTGTACCTGTCTGAGCATGTCAAGTATCCCCCATGATGACAGGCATCCCCTTTTCCCCATCGGTCATTGGTGACAACCGTATCCTTCACTGGGCTGCAAAGAGAAAAGATTCAGGAGATTGATGTGCTAGAGCATGTTGCTGTGATGGGTTGTCTTGTCTTGTCCCAGTCATTTGTCCCAAGACTTAAGCTACAGTGTGAATATATAAATATCGCTGCCTATGCTAGAAACCTAATAATGCCAAGATTATGAACATATTTTTTTATTAAAATGTACAAAGCTGGGAAATATAGTGAGGTAGAACAAACTGATTGGATTTCTGGAGGCAACTTTGTAGGAAACCTTCATAATTTTCCTATCTTATTTCTTTGCTGTTAGAATTGGTTACCTAGGAGCTTATGTAAGACAGGGCTCCACACATACACTGGCCCACTAGACCAATGCCTGAAACAAATGTAAGTAAGTACAAGGTAAGTTTATCTCAATATGCTGCAACATGGGGAAAGAGTCAGACATTGCACGCTTGTGACAGTTGTCCTTGTGTCTGGGGGATGGGGGGTGAAGTTTGTGGCATTATTGCTCCCAGACCTGGCGGAAGGTGCGCGGAAGCTATGACCAAATTTTTAAAAGTACTGGTTTAACTTCGAAATTTTACTGCATCTGCCATCTTTGTTTATTTGACTTATTGACTTTTGCCATTTACTTGTTACATTTCTTGGTGTGAATGTTGTACAAACTGCAAAAAAATTGCTTAAAATGAAATCAAATGTTGAAAAGATTTCAGACCCCTTAGACTTTTCATTGTTTTTTCAGGAAAACCTGCCCACATCCCTGATAAATTATTTGGGACAAGTAATTTGTCTAGGTGGTGGTCAGTGTGACCATTAAGTGCTGGTCTTCTTATTGAGACAACCTTGAAAAGAATGGAAGAACGTACACTTGTAGAATAAATGTGAAAGCTTATTATGATGTTTGGGCCAGATTCTGAATTAAATGGTTGTCTAGGAACCCTGGTTTTTTTGTACATTCATACAATATCACAAGGGAAGAGGGTGACAAGTATTTCCAGGACAACCACTTGGTACCTGTCATTGTAGAGCCAGGCCAGAAACTCCTTGGATCCCCAGTAGGTGTCTGGGGCCTCCCACTCTCCATCAGACCACACAATGTCGGGTTTGTAGTTGTTCACAAGCTCATACAGCTCAGGAATAGCCTTTTCCTAAAATTGATTTTAATGGTACACCCTATAATGACAATAGGTTTAATGCTCTGGTACAGTTCCAGATGAGCTCTACATGACAGAAATAATGAATACAAATAATTAACCAAGTAAAAAATGCATTGACTAAGACTTGTAGACTTTGTTCTGTTTCTTGGAAGGATCAGAATGCTCAAAACGTCAGTGTGGCTTATCCGTATCAGCTGTTGCAGCAGGATTTCTAGTATGTACTACAGTCTTTTAGGGAGGTATGCTTTCCCTTTCCCGAAAGAATGAGGATGGCTTTGCAACACTGGCAATATCATGGCAGGGACAACAGAAATGGACTTCACAAATTCTACCCCACCCATCAGTGATGAACTGAACTAACCTATGAACTCATCTCTGACCAATCTACTCAGCAACCCAAATCACCAGCTAAGTCACCAACTGAATCCACTCATCTCATCTCGGCTGCCAATTTACTTAGCCACTAAAACCTACATTTCCCCACTGACAATCCTTAAATGACATGTTTAGTTAAGCTGACCTTAGCAAACCTGGTGGTGGTGTAGTTGTTGGCCTTGTCCTGTAGATAGAGAGGGTTGAACCACTCAAACAAGGAATGGTACAGGCCAAGGTGAAGATCCGTCTTTGATTTCAGTGCTTGAGTTATCTCACCTATGGATAACATTAGGCCTCATATTTAAAACTTGGCTTACTGATTATATCCATTTACGAAATTTTCGAAATAAACATTTAATTGCCAAATACATTTTTTATGTTGAAATAAAAAAGAAATGAAATGACAAAATCATGCTGCTTGGAGATCACAGCTTCCTTTACTTTTTATTCCACAGTTGAGAAATGTTGTTTTGATGAATTAGATCTAAAAACATAAATAGGTTGGGAAAATATTAGGAACTAGAATTAAATAAATGTTTAGAGTCTGAAATATTGTTTATATGTTAAAATGAGTATGAATGTATGTATTACCAACAAGATCTCTCTTGGGGCCAACCTGCATTGAGTTCCAGTTAAAACTGACATTAGTCGGCCAGTTGCAAAACCCTCCATGATGTTTTGTTATATACACAATGTATCTGAAAACAACATAAACTGAGGTGACATGGGATTCTTGTTTGAATTACAAAAAGAGTTGAAGGTTAAGCTGTGAAAGACAGTACTGCAGCAGCCATTACTACCAGGCATGTTTTCATTTAGAATCTTTGGACAACTTGAAATGATTAGTTCCAGGAATGCTACATGAACACTCTACTAAGGTGAAACATTTTTCTTGACTGTCTTGTGTGTATTGGAAGCCTTTGATCACATATAGTCTACATTGTCTAACATTTTATTTAATTATTTAGTAAAATTATGTGTCATGCAAATATATCCTTTTCTGTTCATTGACTCAGTTATCCTTATTGTCAGAATATCATAATATCATACTTAGCCCCAGAAGCAGCAAACAATTCAGCCCAAGCGTCGGCATCATGAAACTCTGCTGTGAAGTCAGCAGCGAAGTCAGCATAGGTGAAGTCAGGTTTATAGTTGTCCTTCATGTACTGCACATACTTTGGACGTTTTTCCTTTTGCCAGTATTCCCAAAACCACTCGTCTCCAAAACTTGGTACTGAAAACAGTCCCAAGGACACAAAGATTCCCACTTTAGCTTCATCAAACCATGTCGGTAATGGCCTGGAATCTAGGGACTCCCATGTGGGTTCGTAGCGAGTCTCAATCTTCTTGGTTCTTGCTGAACGTCCACATGCTAGTGTTAATGCTAGGAATATCAGGACAATGATCCTTGTGTCCATTGTGGATGGAGGACAGGTGTCTTGTGATCCTCCTTCAATGTTGATGATAACCTAATGCAACCTCGGTGGAGGGTCGACAGCTGATTACATTTGGTGTCTAAATGTTCAAGGTTAAAGATAGGCTAGAGGATGATGAACTTACTTGCCACGTTTCTGTTGTCTGTCTTTTAATAACCTTCATTTGATCTTTGTATTTTTCCTATGGCCTAAGATTTTCTCAAAAGACATTTGTGCTCTGAAACTTGTGGACAAATGAAGATGAAATGAGTAATGTTTCTTCCTACAATGAGATTGCAATTTGTTCAAATTAATTTGAATATCTGGTATCAAGTTTGTTAGCATTAAAACATATTCTTACAGTGTTGGCTGAAGAGTGCGTTTTTGCGTCTTGGACGCACAAATATGAGTCTGAGCGCACCTACGTAACATGTGTGGGTCTCGTGGACGCAGTGACTGGACCCTTTTTAATTTCATATCAAATGGCCACTGTTATTGTAAATCAAAGCCGTACGTCTTTGCGTAAAGGTATTTATTGCCAAACAAGACAGCGAAGTATGTTGATTAACACTTCCGTTTGCTAAATCAAACCAGTTTCATTATTCTCTCCCTTCTTACGACATATACCCAAACTGGGATCAATTTTGGGTTTTGCATGTATTTATGTGCGCTATAGTCCAAGTTTTGCTTCAGCCAATCATGTGCCGCATATTAAGCTGCTCTGATACATTCGTAAATCGTTTAGCTTGGTCATTGGTCGAAAACATCACGACCTCGCGTCAAACTAAAAATATCCAGGCACATCAAGGGTATATACTTCAGAACGTGGTAACAGTGACCCGCGAGATCAAGTGACCATGTAGGATGGTGCGCTTTATTATCGCGATAGTTAATCTATAATGGATCGTCATGGGGTACTCTTTAAACTTATTAAATATGTGATATGCAAAATGTTTGTTGCTCTTTGTTTAACTTTTATAACACATAAATTAGGATTGATCGATGCTGATTTTCTTTACAGAGTTCGGTGAACAAAGTACCTGTCACCGCAGTAAGGCTTAGTGGATTATGTGGTTTACATCACTTCCTGTTTTGTATTTTGCATAATCAGTATGCATACAACAGAGGTAGGGTCAAGGGACTTCGTCTGAACAAATGGGTTCTTTTCTAATCAATTTCGAATGGAGATAGGGGTAATTCCACTTCAAAAACATCCCAGAAACTATCATAAAAAAATTAACATGTGTATACTTGCATTTAGCCGTGACATACCACAATGGGTCCTGTATTTGATCATGCCATGAAATATATCGTGCTTAGATTTGTATAAGTAAACAGTCGACAGGGTGTGTGGATTACGAGATTTATCGATACCGCGATACTGTATATGATAAAGAACAAATGCGAACATTTGAATGTTAGCATTGTTTTTATATAGCGGACTCTGAATATTTAGTTATTCTACAACAGACTTATTCAGCTGTTAATAATTCATTCTTTGGTGAGTTATATTAAGAATTGCAAAACACATTTTGCCAGAACAGTTATCAGTGTAACTGACATGTTTAAACATTTATAGCACCTGAAACATGTTGACTAGATTGATCAAGGAAATCCTGGATCCTGAATACACTCTTACTAAAAAAATGTTTGATATGCCAATTATATCATGACTCATTGATGTAATTGTCACAGTTATGACATGAACTCACTACTCACAACAGTAGCATCAGAACAGCCATTGAACATGACTGTATCCATAAACTTCAAATCATTGGTAGATCTAGATATGCTAGGCTATGACAAATGTCTGTCCCAATGACCCCTTACCAATGGCTGATAACCCGTGTACTGCCTTTTCATTTACGAAGTTAGACATTAACATGGATAATTTTGTGTTAAAATATTCCTTAATATCAAATTTCCATTTTAAGAAATTGTTTGTGCCATAATGTAAACCTCTTGGTCATGAGAGTAGGATGCATCCTGATGTGAACCTTTCTCTCACTTTGCCTGTTTGTTGATATTTTGCAGTTGCGAAAATATTTCTGATTTTTCACAACCACTGTGTTCTGTTGTAATGTTATGTTACAGTGCTATAAGTTGGACCCATCCATTTTTGTTTGGGACCCCTAATTTTATGATGAAGGGGCCCAAGTGACCCCAATAAAATTTAAGCCAGAGCAGACACTGTTCTTAAGAAAGCATAATGTCTACTGACCAGAGATTCTTCCAGGTGACATATTACAAAGTCAACGGAAAAAATTTCATTCATTCAGAGGGTAATTTTAGGCTAAGTAAAATTTGAACACAATGCCATTTAGAAAGTGGTCAAATGTAACAAATGTTACATTTGGGATAACACTTTCTTTGTAAATTACAGATTCTCGTACTTTTTTGGGTTGAATCCCGTTTGGGATTCGTTAAATTTGTTCCAGGCCATGTTTATAAAGGCAAATAAAACCAACTGGTAATGATTGGTCAATATTGATTGATTAAATACTATGGTAAATTGTGCAGAAATTATGTGGCACTTATTAAAACATATGCATGTATATGTATCAGGAAATCATACATTTCAGTACCGAAACATCTAAACAACTCTGTCGACATACACTATTAATTTGCATTCTAATTTAGCATCAATTTGTGATGCCTATGCACTTACCTGATGTATACCTTGCATCACTGTCGAAGGTGGATTCAGGACTGATCAAAACAAAGATGCATCAGTGACTCTATGTTTAAAAACTGTTGCTACTAGAAAATGTTGTCCGTTTGTTTTGTAATTTCCGCACAAAAAAGTAGACCCTGTAGAACATATTTTTTTAGTTGCTTCCATTTGTCATGGCAGGATATGATGATGCTGTTGCTGGTTTCCCCTTCATCCCTTTACACAAAATCATGGCCAAAGAGGTTATGAGATAGTGACAGTCATGGTGTATTGCCACTGGGGTTATGATCTTTGAGAGGGCTGTTACTATGTGCAAAAAGATACTTTCAAGGCCTCATCGACCGATGTCTTTAGGTGATGCAACAACCAACCTTACTATTCAGATGACGTTTCAAAATAGCACTGAAGACGATGCAAGGTGTCAAAGGGTGACATGTGTAAATGATCAACCATTTACAGAAGAACTTTTATCATTAACGTACAAAATGTTAGCGAAATAACATACATGTCTTTTTGGACCCATCCCATTGACAACCATTTCATGGTTAATTCCATCCCATAAATTCGATTCCCGAAATGGGTACAATGTGTGAAGCCCATTTCTGGTGTCCCCCGCTGTGATATTGCAAGACTATTGCTAAAAGTGGCGTAAAACCATACTCACTAACTCACTATTATTGGGTGCAGATATTGGTATTTACAGATTGGTCAGGAAGCTGGTCAGGGGTTGCTTGATATGGCAAATACAGAATCAAAACAGGATTGTCAAGGAATCAAGATACAGTTTTTACTGTGGATTCTGTGGGCAATATGGCATGCTGAATTTAGAAACACCTTGGCTAAGTAATCATCGTGGCTTTACTGTTCTTAGTCTGTGTCACAGTATGGCAATTGGGATAGTCTTAATGATTAACTCACTTTTTTACGTTTCCATGGCAACAAGATGGACTTAGGTTCCAAACTCTTTTTTTTTTTACAATTTCCATGACAAGTTCTACCTCGGTTAAAAAAGGTTAGGATTTGTTTAGATTTAATTATGTCATAAATTCTGCAACAGGGGTGGGGGATATAGCTATGTTAGTGGCAAACTCTTGTTGTACTCATATCCGGACATGTTCTTGAAATCTTGGTTAAGGTCATGATGATGATTTATTACATCTGTGCATGATGTGGTGTAGTGGTTGACCTTGTTCTGTAGATCGAGATATCTGCCCATGACACACAATTTAGTGACATGAACGGATATATATCCTGACAACTGCATCTTTTTGTTACAAATCTATTTTCAATTATTGTTTTAGTTATAATATTGTAATTAAATTTTCATTGTGTTCATAGTAATTCCTGCATTCTGATTAGCTGCATTTTTCACATATTATTGCATTCATTTCCCAATTAATGTAAACAATTAAATTCCATTATTATAGCTGAGGAAGTCCCTTTCTGCTCACGTGTATCGTCATGCTCAAGACTTTTTAATGAAATTCATGCATATTAATTGTCCAAACTACCCTTTGAGGTGAAAGGCTGAAAAGGAATGAAACAGCCAATTTGCAGGCTTGCTCACCTGTTTTTTCCCACCATTTTCATGTCTTTGGGTTTCATTTCTAAATCTAATTTTCCAACTTCCCATTCTCAGGGAACTAATGTTTGAATCTGCGGTTACTGACCATATAATTTGAAACAGCTGCGTTCTCCCTGACATTTTTGTTCCGGTTCGTTACAGTCCGTCTGTTGGGGTTGTTCTCGCCTCCTTAATTGTTGTGTGAACAAAGGTTACTTGTTTGATATTTATGCTGATACCTTGATCTTTGAAGATTATAAAGGAACATTCCTTTGGAAGTCATTTAATGTTATGTTCACTCAGGTTTATTAAAGCATTTTTTCTATACTTCTAATTTATCCTGGTCGCTGATTTGAAACACAGGTTTCAAGTTATTCTGCAAGCTACCTAACCATTAAATAGTTTGCAATGTTCAATGAAGGCAGCATGTTGTTTCAAATATTTGATATTTACTTTACCCCTTTCCTCAACCGAACTTGTGATTTACAGAGCCTATGACTCCTCTATTCTGTTATCATTTATTAACAATTTTCAGTTAAAGGGTGACACCCAACACCAACATTTGTGTACTTGAATTCTTTCTTGTAGAGGTTCAGGTCAATCTTGCTTGACACAGTATAAGGATCTCTTCTGAAACGTCACTCTTACAGTATGAAACAGAATTTGTTATCCATAAATTGTGTTTCATTCTCAATGTAGACCAGCAAAACATAACCAGTGGGATTTTATCCAATGTCTCCAATATGATTAATAGCATCATTTCCTCACACCTTGCTAACAGGTTAACCTCCTTGGTGATGTCTACCAGGGTGACATGTGTAGCAGGGTGTGGTGTCAGCCCACGCCTTGCTGATGGGGTTAACCTCCTTGGTGATGTCTACCAGGGTGACATGTGTAGCAGGGTGTGGTGTCAGCCCACGCCTTGCTGATGGGGTTAACCTCCTTGGTGATGTCTACCAGGGTGACATGTGTAGCAGGGTGTGGTGTCCGCCCATGCCTTGCTGATGGGGTTAACCTCCTTGGTGATGTCTACCAGGGTGACATGTGTAGCAGGGTGTGGTGTCAGCCCACACCTTGCTGATGGGGTTAACCTCCTTGGTGATGTCTACCAGGGTGACATGTGAAGCAGGGTGTGATGTCAGTCCACACCTTGCTGATGGGGTTAACCTCCTTGGTGATGTCTACCAGGGTGACATGTGAAGCAGGGTGTGGTGTCAGCCCACACCTTGCTGATGGAGTTAACCTCCTTGGTGATGTCTACCAGGGTGACATTTGTAGCAGGGTGTGATGTCAGCCCACACCTTGCTGATGGAGTTAACCTCCTTGGTGATGTCTACCAGGGTGACATTTGTAGCAGGGTGTGATGTCAGCCCACACCTTGCTGATGGGGTTAACCTCCTTGGTGATGTCTACAAGGTATCTAAGGGTGACATGTTTTGCAGGGTGTGATGTCAGCCCATGTGTTGCTGATGGGGTTAACCTCCTTGGTCATGTCTACAAGGTATCTAAGGGTGACAGGTGTAGCAGGGTGTGGTGTCAGCCAACGTGTTGCTGATGGGGTTAACCTCCTTGTTCATGTCTACAAGGTATCTAAGGGTGACATGTTTAGCAGGGTGTGATGTCAGCCCATGTGTTGCTGATGGGGTTAACCTCCTAGGTCTTGTCTTCCATGTATCTGAGGGTGACATGTGTAGCAGGGTGTGGTGTCAGCCCACGCCTTGCTGATGGGGTTAACCTCCTTGGTGATGTCTACCAGGGTGACATGTGTAGCAGGGTGTGGTGTTAGCCCACACCTTGCTGATGGGGTTAACCTCCTTGGTGATGTCTACCAGGGTGACATGTGTAGCAGGGTGTGGTGTCCGCCCATGCCTTGCTGATGGGGTTAACCTCCTTGGTGATGTCTACCAGGGTGAAATGTGTAGCAGGATGTGGTGTCCGCCCATGCCTTGCTGATGGGGTTAACCTCCTTGGTGATGTCTACCAGGGTGACATGTGTAGCAGGATGTGGTGTCCGCCCATGCATTGCTGCTGGGGTTAACCAGGGGTCCGGAAACCGTCATATGCGCCGGACATGTCTGATTTGGGATCTCAAATGTCCGTTTTAAAATATTGCTTACCGGACATTTAAATTTTTCTGTCCAGACATTTTTAAAAGTATTGTCCGGACATTCTTATATTTTGACCGGACATGATCAACAGTTAGGACTGAGCAGTTTCTGTCTGCAGTTGTTACTTACTTACTTACTTACTTTGGAGATTTAACGTGCGCTTTCCGACTGATGCATATTTCGCACACGGGCCCGGCCAGGCCATTTAATGTGTTTCCGAAAGGGGCGAAAGTGGTCTGTGCAACCCAAGAGGGGGGTTTAGGGGTTGCTTATATAGAATTTGGGAATTTTGAGATTTGGAATAGATGCCGATGGGGTTGGGGAGGAGAACTAAGGGAGCTGGGTATGGTGGGTGTTTGTTTGTTTATGTGATTTTGATTTGGTAGGTTATTGTGTTTTTAGATGCGTTTTATTAGTTCCGTTTTTATTAAGAATGCGCCTAAGGCCTTGAAGTTTTCTAATTTATTTAGTGGGTTTAGTATTGCTTCTAGAGTGAGAGCCTTGTTTAGATTGAGGGTGGTTTGTAATGCGGTTCGATGTGTTAGGTAGTGTGTGCAGTGGATGAGTGCGTGTTCTGGGGTTTCTGGTTGTTTGCAGTGTGGGCAGTTACCTGTAGTGTGTTTTTTTATTTTTTTTAGGTGGTTAATTAGATTGGTGTGTCCTGTTTGGAGTTTTGTGATTACTCTGTCGATCTTTTTTGATGGATGGAGAATTTTTGGTTTGGTTAGTGGTTTGCTGAGCACTTTTTTGATTTGGCTATTTGAGTTTAGATATAGGTTATGCCATTTTTGTGTGATTTTTTGCTTGTTTACACTTTTAATTTCTGATTTTGAGATGGGTAAGTTTAAGCTTATTTCTGGGATTTTGAGGGATAGTTTAGCTGCTTTATCGGCGTTTTCATTACCGTATATTCCTATGTGGGCGGGTATCCACAAGAAGGTTATTTGTTTGCCTGCCTTAGTTAGGTCGTTGGAGCTTTTAAGTATTTGATTTATTAATTTAGGTTGGTTTTTGGTATTTTTGTTTTGGGAGGCTTGCAGTCCACTTAGGGAGTCAGTAAGTATTAGGATTTTTTTGTGTTTTTTTTATTCTTGATTATGGAGGGCTGAGACCATGCCCATTAGTTCTGCCGTGAATATTGATTGGTTGTTTGGGAGTCGGAAGGATTGTGTGGTTTTAGTTGGTTGTGTGGTATGGACTCCGAAACCTGTGTGTTTGGAGGTCGGATCTGAGGATCCGTCCGTGTAGATGTGACACCAATTTGGCCAATTTTCGTAGTTTTAGCTATGTTTGGGTCGGTTTGTTTATTTATTTGGCTAGCTAGTGTTGTGTCTATTTTGGGTATTTTAAGTTTAGGGGTGAAGATATTTGATTGTTTGAAGTTTTGTTTAAGAATTTTAATTTGGTGTTCATTTAGGTAGTTTGTTATTCTTTGGGATATTGGGGTAAGTAAGGGGTGTTTACGAGCTAGAGCTTGGTTTTTGGGGCTGATGTTTTGGTTTATTAAGTTTTGGATGAGAGGGTTTGATTGGGACGCGGCCCAGAAATTTAAGCTTAGCTGTTCCCTGCGTAGACTTAGTGGCATTTCTCCTGTTAAGGCCTGAAGTGAGGTGTAGGAGGTGCCATGTTGGGTGCGTGTAATTAGTTTGAGAGCCTGATATTGTATTGCGTCAAGTTTTTTAGATAGAGAGTTGTTTAGGGTGTTGTATATGGCGCAGCCGTAGTCTAGTTTTGATCTAATTAGTGATATGTAGAGAGAGAGAGGAGGGTATCTTTGGAGGCTCCCCAGTTAGAGCCAGTTAGGCATCTTAGGGTGTTTAGGTCTTTGCTGCATTTAGTTGTTAAGTTTTGGATGTGAGCATCCCAGGTGAGATGTTCATCGAAAATAAGTCCTAAGAATTTGGTTTGTTTTTGAAATTTGATTGTTTGGTTGTTTAGCTGGAGGATTGGGGAGGCGGGTTTCATGTTTTTATGTTTGAATACTATTCCTGTTGTTTTTTCTGAGTTAAGGGAGAAGCCCCATTTGTCAGCCCATTGTTGTATTTTATTAAGAGATTTGCAGTTGTAACACAATGAAGATTATCTACACTGACAAGCTTTGATTGTTTTGATTGCTGTAAAATACATCATACCTACATGATAGTCCAATCGGTCAATCACTGTAATAGGCAATAAACTGAGTTGACACTGATAAATCGACTATTAATTACTGAGAACATCTTGTTAATTTGAGTGAAAGGTGTTTACAACTGTACATAAATACCTTGCATCATCGATGTACCTTATTATCCTCACAATGCTACGATACGTAGCCTCAGACAAGAAGCGAAAGCGTGACGACAGCCAGTCGACCGATGCAGATCAGTTGAGCGGATCTGCCAAACCCTCAAAGTCTGGACAATCATTTTGTAAGTCGTGGCTAACGACTTTCACTTGGTTGACATACAATGAGGATTTGCAGATTTTATTGTTTTCAGTAGCTAGTCGTATACTGAATCTTGATTGACCGCCATTTTGCTTTCTGTGACGATCGATATCAAAAAGTTTTATGGTCAATAATTAAGTGCAGATGAAAAAGTATTCAAATAACTATTACTATCAACGATGATATTTTAGTATTTGTGATTATATTATCTGTCTTGTTTTTAAATAATCTTTAGTTTAAAAAAACAACTTTTCCCGTGAGGTCATGTGATAACCAAATATGGGATAATAGTCTCGATCCAAATGTTACAACGCGTACACTTGAGCAGACTCATGAATATAACTCATGAATATTAATTAGACCGTTCACTACGAACGTTATTATAACAGAAAGAAACGTATGTTTTCCATGTATATCTAAAATGATATTGTTTGTTATTAATTGTCCGGTGAATTAAACAATTTAAATTGAAACAATTCATAATTCATCATATTATGAATACGTAACAACTTGTAATGTGTGTGAAAAGTCGTACTAAAATATGCTATTTGAAGGGGGCGTGGCCTAAATGCAAATGTCCGATTGGGATTTTAAATTTTCTGGACCCCTGGGGTTAACCTCCTTGGTCATGTCTACAAGATGTCAGACCTAGGATCAGAATGTTTGTGGTTCAAATCCCACCACATGACTAGGACATTTTATTTCTGCTGCACATGCATGTCAACATTGTGTAGTAATATTTATCACACTCATCATGTGATTTGCATCATGCATGTTTAGCGTCATATGGCACACCAACCCTTGATCCTTGAGTCAACACCGTGTACATTGAAGGGAGGTAGTCCCTGCACTTAAATCCATTTCATGTGTAGTCATGTCAGGTTTTTAAAGATGGAATAAATATATCATGTTAAACAAACAAACAAATCAAATAAAGCGATCATAATGTGTCTATATATGCAGTCAAGGTAGCATTTATTTTATTGTCAAAACAACTTTCATGTGTAATACAAAAATGTAAGTTTAATAACCATCCCAGTGTCAACCATTGATTGTTAAGGTAAATCTCATTAATTGTCAACCATTTATATATCACCATGAAGGCCCACCCAGTTGCTAATCATGGATGTCATTGTGAAGGTCCATCCAATTGCCAATCATTGATGTCATTGTGAAGGTCCATCCAACTGTCAACCATTCATGTCATTGTGAAGGCCAATCCCATTGTTAACCACTTATCTCTTTGTGAAAGCCCATTCCACTGTCTACTATTTATGTAATTATGAAGGCTCATCCCATGATCAACAATTTATGTATGTCATTTTGAAAGCCCTTCCCATTATAAACCATTTCTGTCATTGAGATGGATTATCCCATTGTCAACCAATTTTTTTATTGTGAAGGCCCATCCAATTATCAACCATTTGAGTCATGCAAAGACTCATCCTATTATCATTTTAGGTTTCTAAAGATTTAATATGTGTATTATGTTGAACAAAGAAACAAACAAACAAGAAATAGTGCTCATAATGTTTACATGTATGCAGTCAAGGTAGCATTCATTTCATCAGAACAACTTTCATTTGTTACACAGAAAATGTAACTTAAATAACATGTCTATGTAAACCCATCCCATTCTGAAGGTTCATCCCATTATTTGTCAACCAATTATATCATTGTAAATGCCCATCCCATTCTCCCAAGTCAACCATATATGTTTATGTTCTTCCATAGACTTGTCTGGTTGTCAACCATTTATGTCAGTGCGAAGACCCATCCCCACTGACATGGCATCTTGTTGACAGGGATGGGAGGGATTGTGATACTGATTCCTTTGGGTGACGCATGCTGCCAGGAGAAGCTTCCAGTGTACCCAAGGAGGCTGACTTGTGTTCCATTAGTTGGCAAAGCTGACCCAAGGTGGAGCTGTCCTGGTTGTGGCCAGTTCAGCACAATGGCGTACACGATCCCAGCTCTCTGTGTGTACCTGAAGAGAGACAAAGTAAGCAATTTAAATCTGAAAATGAAAATCAGGCTAGAAAAATCATCAAAAAAAGGATTCAGGCCAATATTGCAAATTAGAATTATCTGCTGTTGTATCACCTACATTTTTATATATTTAAATAGAGAATCTCACCCGAGTGTCTTTTGATATCAAATATATCAACACGAGTTGATAAAAGTGGGAAAACTCCGAGATCTTGACGAGGATTTTTTTTCCACTTTTATCAACTCGTGTTGATATATTTGATATCAAAAGACACGAGGGTGAGATTTTATTTATCATCCAACATCATTCTTCCAACTTTCAGTTTGTAGAAAGTAATAAGCAGTGTCTTAAGTGTAAAAAGTACTGCTAACAGCTTCAGTAGCAGAGCCATTAGTGATGTCATTTGATTTTAGACGTCATGGTAACCAATGACGTCACAATGGTCTGCAAAGCATTGTGATGCAATTTCATTGCGGTGATATCTACAGTATAGATATCACTTGATCTTACCAAAGCGATATCTCCTGTGGGGAGCCAGTTTTGGATGATAAATTACCATATTTGACATAACAAACACCTGACAAAGAAGAGTGAGTTCGGTGGGTCACTTGTTAGGTTGATTCACAAGTTAAATTTGTTGTCAGAGATCGAGTTGTAGAGAACAGACCTTGTTCAAACATCAATGGAACTAAAACTAAATTACTAGGCAGTTACATACTCTTTTTCCACTGTTGTGTTTACTGTAAAAAAATACCTTAAACAAGCACAAGAAAATTGTCAGCCTTAGGATCAGACTAAGATGCAGTTTTTTTCTGCGGATTCTGTGGGCAATATGGCATAGTGAGTTGAACATTTAGAAATACCTTGGCAAAGTGATCTTAGAGGCTTGACTGTCCTAAGTCTGTGTTAGAGTATAGAATTGTGATAGTCTTAATGATTAACTCACTTTGTGGATCTGGGCCCTGCAAGGTGATTTATGTAGGATTGAATATGAAATTTTCTGTTTTCTGAAGGTGTTGAATATATTGAAAGTACCTACGACACACCTGGTGTGACTGTGTCACTCTGTGCCAGGCAAGGTGTTGAATACATAAAGTACCTACCACACTCCTGATGTGACTGTGTCATTCTGGGCCAGCCAAGGTTTGGAGGCATAGATGGCATCCCCATTCACCTTCAGCCATTGTCCCATCTGACGCAGTCTCTCCTCATAGATGGGACTAATCATGCCATATTTGGTTGGCCCCACATTGATCAGCAGGTTCCCTCCACAGCTGTATTTGAAAATATGAGTATAAATGTTTTAATTGTTATGATGCATATGTGGGGCACAAGTGGCCCTTTTGATTAAGCTGTGCAGAGTTGCATCCTTTAGCGATGCCAGAAACCCAGAAACTGGGTTCAAGACCCAGTCCTGATAATTTTCTTATGTTTGGCAGCACCAACTCATCCTTGTGGGTTTCACCAAAGTGGTATCATCTACGTCCCCGACCACCTTGGGGTGTATTCAGTGTTCTAGTCACTGACATACTGTTCTTAACTCACTGATACATGTGCTTGTCATAAGAGGCGACTAACGGGATCGGGTGGTCAGGCTCGCTGACTTGGTTGATGCATGTCATCTATCCTAATTGGGTGGATCTATGCTCATGATGTCAATTGCTGGACTGTCTGTTCCAGACTTGATTATTTACAGACCTCCGTCATATAGCTGGATTATTGCTGAGTGTGGCGTTAAGCAACAAAACAACACTGATATATGGAGTTTCCGCACATTTTGTGCAATTGTACCTTTGACAGTGTGGGACATTGGTTATAATATCAACCACATGTTCTGTTAAGGCTCATTTGGTGCACACCTTACATTCTGAGCAGACACACCATTGATGCTCAGTAGGCACACCTAGTGGTCTCATCACATTTTTTGCAATTGTACCGTTGACAGTGTGGGACAATGCTCATAATATCAACCATTTACTCCGTATGTCACATTACATTTATATTTGTATCACTACAGTTTTAGTGTACAACCTGACAGTCTCAACCAGCAGTGCTATAATCTTGTCCATGGTCAGATAATCATCCAAGACAGCCTCGCGACGGAATCCCCACGATCCCTTGTCAATTGTCATTGCATTCTCCCACTTTCTTGGCTGAAGTACTCCTGTAGCATGTAAGAAGAATCAGCTGTAGTGTCTCATCTCAAGTCTTCATGCATGCAGTCATGGTCACAACACCATTTGGAAATCAGTGAACAGACATTATTCCGAAATTAATGTGATTGGATGAAATATTTTGACTTCAGAATTTACAGAATCTATTCATCAACTGGAATTCAGTAATCACAGTCTACATACAATGGCATTTGGCACTCTATTGTAAGCTTCTTTTTGTTGGACTTTTCAATAGACATCATCAATGTCAGTTCCAAATCAGGTCAGTCTTGGAAGATACCCTACTTGTTTGTATAATTTCTTCATATGAGAGGGATGGAGGGTAGTCCAGTAGTTACAGTGTTCACTCATCACACTGAAGGCCTGTTCTATTCCCCACATGGGTGTCCCCCTACCATGATATATGCTGGATCATTGCTAAAAGCAGTGTGAAACCATACTCACTCACTCACTCTTCTTGTTAAGTATTTTAGATTTTTACCTGGATTGTACCTGTCTGAGCATGTCAAGAACCCCCCATGATGACAGACATCCCCTTTTCCCCATCGGTCATTGGTGACAACCTTATCCTTCACTGGGCTGCAAAGAGAAAAGATTCAGGAGATTGATGTGCTAGAGCATGTTGCTGTGATGGGTTGTCTTGTCTTGTCCCAGTCATTTGTCCCAAGACTTAAGCTACCATATGAATATATACGAGGGGTGTTCATTAAAGATTTTCCCTGACCCACTTCCGATGGACCTAGTGGAATGAAACTTGGCATAGGTATTAGTCTTTCTCCACATAAGAACTACCAAGAGTTACACACTTCTCCCATCGTTTTATGCAACTATGGAAACCTCGCTTGTAAAAGCCCTCATTTTGCATCTCAAACCAGGACTTGACTTCAGAAATCAGTGTTTCATCAGCTGTGAAACATTTTCCCTTCAAAAATGACTTCATGGTTGGAAAGAGGTGGAAGTCAGATGGTGCAGGGTCAGGAGAGTAAGGAGGATGTGGAAGGATTTCATAGCCACAGGACCGCGCTTCTGTCTGGGCAACATGAGAGTTGTGTACTGGAGCATTGTCTTGCAGGAGACGGACACCCATGGTCAACATGCCACGCCTCTTAAGCTTGATAGCGTCCTGCAATTCTGCAGCAGTGAAGCATAATAAGCTCCTGTAATTGTGGTACCCTTTGCCAAGAAATCCATCATCACTACTCCGTGCTGGTCCCATAACACCGTGAGCATGACCTTGCCTGCAGAGGGTGGACACGTGCCTTCTTTGGGGGTGGTGACTCCACATGCTTCCATTGCATCGACTGAACTTTAGTCTCAGGATCATAGTGATGGACCCATGTTTCATCCTGTCTGATGAGTCTGTCAAAAAAGTTTGCCTGTTTTTTTTGGCACATGTCCAAAAGATCCTTTGAGCAATTGACTCGTTCCTGCTTTTGGAAAGGTGTGAGCAACCTGGGAATCCATCGTGCAGACACCTTATGCATGTTCCAATTGTCATGGATGATTTTTTCCACAGACCCTACACTGATCTTGACATCTTGTGCTAACTGGTGAATAGTTATACGTCGGTCTGCCAAAATGGCGGTCTCCACTTGATGGATAGTGTCCTCATCAATGGCTGAATGGGGTAGACCAGGAATGGCAGCTGTTTCCACAGATGTCCGACCACACTTTAACTGGCAATGCCAGTGTTTAACAACATCATATGATGGGGCATCTTCCCCATAAGTTGCTTTCATTTCATCGAAAGTTTCTTTTGGTGTGCGACTTTTAAAATATGAAAACCTAATCACTGCTCGGTATTCTACTGGCTCCATTGTCACACCCTACTCGATCATAACACCTGTAAAAGTGGTAAGATTAATAGTTCGGTGCTGCAAATTCAGACATAACCCATAGATTCATGTATCATTACACATGTGAAATTTCAACCAAATATGATAACCCTAAGTGGTTTAGGGGAATCTTTAATGAACACCCCTCGTAACTATCGCTGCCAAAGCTAGAAACCTTATAATGCCAAGATTATGAACATATTTATTTATTAAAATGTGCAAAGCTGGGAAATATAGTGAGGTAGAACAAACTGATTGGATTGCTGGAGGCAATTTTGTAGGAAACCTTCATAATTTCTCTTCCCATCTAATTTCTTTGCTGTTAGAATTGGTTACCTAGGAGCTTATGTAAGACACATACACTGGCCCACAAGACAAATGCCTGAAATAAATCAGGGATGTGAAATCTCTGTGGAAACGTGGAAAATCGCATTTTCTAAAACAGTACTCCTCGGGGAGAAAAATCATCTTCCGCGTAAAAATATAATCAGATTTTAAAAAAAACACTCCGAAATATGTTATCGAAAACTGGACAACCGTCGCGCAGATTGTTCTGTTTTCGATCAGAGCTTTCAGTATCATTGGTTTTCGGACATCTTATGTTTTCTATCACGTATACTTGCACTATAACGTGGGGTGTGGCATCACACAGAAATTGTAAATACACATGTGATGGCTTAAGCTTGTTTTTAAGATAAAATTGTCTTTTAGCCTATACGTGAATGAGATGTTTTACAGTTGTTCATATGATAAGCTAGAAAACTATGAATGTTTCTTCAGCATCAGAAAACCCATAACAAGGGGATATATGTTGTATTAATGTTTTATGTTTGCAATTGAGTTTTGTTTTTTTTCAACAAGATGTAAGTAAGTACAAGGTAAGTTTTTCTGAATATGCTGCAACATGGGGAAAGAGTCAGACATTGCACGCTTGTGACAGTTGTCCTTGTGTCTGGGGGATGGGGGGGTGAAGTTTGTGGCATTATTGCTCCCAGACCTGGCGGGTAGCCATGTGTGCGGAAGCTATGCCTGAATTTTTAAAAGTACTGTATTTAACCTCGAAATTTCACTGCATCTGCCATCTTTGTTTATTTAACTTATTGACTTTTGCCATTGACTTCTTACATTTCTTGGTGTGAATGTTGTACAAACTGCACAAAATTACTTAAAAATGCAATCAAATGTTGAAAATATTTCAGAGCCCCTAGACTTTACATCGTTTTTTCAGGAAAACCTGCTCACATCCCTGATAAATTATTTGGGACAAGTAATTTGTCTAGGTTGTGGTCAGTGTGACCATTAAGTGCTGGTCTTCTTGTTTAGACAACCTTGAAAAGAATGGAAGAACGTACACTTGTAGAATAGATGTGAAAGCTTATTTTGATATTTTGCTTTGGGGCCAGGTTTTGACTTAAATGGTTGTCTAGGAACCCTGTGGTTTTTTTTCAGTATATTTACACAATATCACAAGGTAAGAGGGTGACAATTTTTTTCCCAGGACAACCACTTGGTACCTGTCATTGTAGAGCCAGGCCAGAAACTCCTTGGATCCCCAGTAGGTGTCTGGGGCCTCCCAGTCTCCATCAGACCACACAATGTCGGGTTTGTAGTTGTTCACAAGCTCGTACAGCTCAGGAATAGCCTTTTCCTAAAATTGATTTTAATGGTACACCCTGTAGTGACAATAGGTTTAATGCTCTGGTACAGTTCCTGATGAGCTCTGCATGACAGAAACAATGAATTCAAATAATTAACCAAGTAAAAAATGCATTGACTAATACTTGTGGACTTTGTTCTGTTTCTTGGAAGGATCAGAATGCTCAAAACGTCAGTGTGGCTTATCCGTATCAGCTGTTGCAGCAGGATTTCTCGTATGTACTACAGTCTTTTAGGGTGGTAAGCTTTCCCTTTCCCGAAAGAGTGAGGATGGCTTTACACCACTGGCAATATCATGGCAGGGACAACAGAAATGGACTTCACAAATTCTACCCCACCCACCGTGATGAACTGAACGAACCTATGAACTCACCTCTGACCGATCTACTCAGCAACCCAAATCACCAGCCTAGTCACCAACTGAATCCACTCATCCCATTAACCCTCATCTCATCTCGGCTGCCAATTCACTAACCCACTCTAACCTACACTTTCCCCACTGACAATCCTTAAATGACATGTTTAGTTAAGCTGACCTGAGCAAACCTGGTGGTGGTGTAGTTGTTGGCCTTGTCCTGTAGATAGAGAGGGTTGAACCACTCAAACATGGAATGGTACAGGCCAAGGTGAAGATCCGTCTTTGATTTCAGTGCTTGAGTTATCTCACCTATTGATAACATTAGGCCTCATATTTGATACTTGGCTTACTGATTATCCATTCACAAAATTTTCAAAATAAAAATTTAATTGCCAAATACATTTTTTATGTTGAAATTAAAATGAAATGAATTGACAAAAGCATGCTGCTTGGAGTTCAAGGCTTCCTTTACTTTTTATTCCACAGTTGAGAAATGTTGTTCTGGTGAATTAGATCTAAAAACATGAATAGGTTGGCAAAATATTAGGAACTAGAATTAATTAACTGTTTACAGTCTGAAATATTGTTTATATGTTAAAATGAGTATGAATGTATGTATTACCAACAAGATCTCTCTTTGGGCCAACCATCATTGAGTTCCAGTTAAAACTGACATTAGTCGGCCAGTTGCAAAACCCTCCATGATGTTTTGTTATAAATACAATGTATCTGAAAACAACATAAACTGAGGTGACATGGGATTCTTGTTTGAATTACAAAAAGAGTTGAAGGTTAAGCTATGAAAGACAGTGCTGCAGCAGTTATTACTACCAGGCATGTTTTCATTTAGAATCATTGGACAACTTGAAATGATTAGTTCCAGGAATGCTACATGAACACTGTACTTAAAGATGTTGGATATCATTGTTCATGGACATACGGGACGCGCATGTAACGGCGGGTATTTGTAATGCGGTTACGTCCCTTTGACTCGCTGCTAATTGCATAAGAACTCATAGAAATGTAAATTTGGGCAAGAGTTACCTCCCCTGATTCATTATTTTAGGGGTATGCTGTGTTGATTGAAAATAATTTGAATATCCTCTGGTAACATGTTGTTTTTATTTTATAATTTTATTTTACAATGAATAAACATTAGAAATAAGCCAGTTTGAAAAATATCTTGATTTTGTAAAATGCTTTTTTGACTGATGAATCAATTTTTTTAGAAAATGTGCTTTTTTTAAAGTCAAATGATGTGTGAAATTAAAAATATTTTAACTTGAATTTTCATTTTTCTGTTTTAATAATCAAACTTAAAAATGACCATTTTATTGGCAAAATGATTTTATCATCTGGTGCCTCTAGATGGCGCCACTTATTCAAAAAATGCCGCGGTGATTTGTTTTTTTTATTGCTTAATTTGATTTAGGACATATTTTCCTACAAAATGATACCAAATATACCCATTTCTTGAATTTTTTGTTTTTTGTATGCAACCTCTTTAAGGTAAAACATTTTTCTTGACTGTCTTGTGTGTATTGGAAGCCTTTAATCACATATAGTCTACATTGTCTAACATTTTATTTAATAATTTAGTCAAATTATTTGTCATGCAAATATATCCTTTTCTGTTCATTGACTCAATTATCCTGATACCAGGATTGTCAGAATATCATAATATCATACTTAGCCCCAGAAGCAGCAAACAATTCAGCCCAAGCTTCGGCATCATAAAACTCTGTTGTGAAGTCACGAGCGAAGTCAGCATAGGTGAAGTCTGGTCTATAGTTGTCCTGCATGTACTGCACATACTTTGGATTTTTTTGCCCTTGCCAGTATTCCCAAAACCACTCGTTTCCAAAACTTGGTACTGAAAACAGTCCCCAGGACACAAAGATTCCCACTTTAGCTTCATCATACCAGGTGGGTAATGGCCTGGAGTCTAGGGACTCCCATGTGGGGTCGTAGCGAGTCTCAGTCTTCTTGGTTCTTCCTGATCGTCCACATGCTTGTGTTAATGCTAGGAATATCAGGACAATTATCCTTGTGTCCATTGTTGATGGAGGACAGGTGTGTTGTGATCCTGCTTCAATGTTGATGATAACCCAACACAATCTTGTTGAATGACAGCTGATTACATTTGGTGTCTAAATGTTCAAGGTTAAAGATAGGCTAGATGATTATGAATGTACTTGCCACGTTTCTGTTGTACTGCAACAAAAAGGTCAATAAATGTCTTTAAAATTGTCCAATTTCCATGTGTAATATATCAAAATAAAGCTGAAGTTATTCCGGTTACGTTTATGTTATTTCCATGTCGGTAATGGCCTGGAATCTAGGGACTCCCTTGTGGGGGCGTAGCGAGTCTAAATCTTCTTGGTTCTTGCTGAACGTCCACATGCTTTCGTTGTTAAAGCTTGCAATATCAGAACTTGTGTTGTGATCCTTGTTTGATGATAACTTAACATGATCTTTTTATAGACAAATTAAAGTCAAGGTAAGCTGATTACAAAAGGTGTCTATATGTTCAAGGTTGAAGATAGTCTGAATGATAATGGATGTCCTTGTCATGTTTCTGTTGTCTGTTTTTTATAACCTTCCTTTGATCTTTGACTGTATTTGGCAAGTGACCTGAGATTTTCTCAAAACACATTTTTTTGCTCTGAAACACCTGGACTAATGAAGACGAATGTTATTTCATGTGGCATATTATTTCCTACGATGAGATCGTAATTTGTTGAAGTTAATTTTGAATATGTGTTTTTTTTAGAAAATCAAGTTACATGAAAATTAAAACATCTTCTCATGGTGTATCGCCACTGGGGCTTTGATCTGCCAGTGGGCTCTAAATATGTGCAAGATACTTTCAAGGCCTTGTTGACTGGTGAAGGGTTTCAGGTGGTGCAACAACCAACCTTACAGTCCTGATAAAATAGTGTTCCATGCATTCGTCTTGAAAACAAGGACCATCATGGGGTACATTCTCAGTCCTACTGGACGAGGCCCCAGGGAACCGCCACCATTGGTGTCAATCCGAGAGTGGATTTATTCCATACATTAGTCTTAATAAAAATGATGTTAATAGAACCTCAGTCACAATGGCCACATGGAAAAGATCCCTGTGAACTTTGATATGCCCTGAAGCAACATTGTGGACTTCCCACCATTAGTGTCAAGATGGCAGGGTTGGAAAGCCAACAGTTTAAAGTCTGTTTCCAGGTTTGTCAGAACTATATGCATGCTCATGGGTTGCAAGAAAATGGTAAGTGTCTAAGAATTGTATCACTTCGGGCGTTCCTCGAGCATCAAGCTGAAACATCAGGACATAACTGCCACACTGTTCACATCAGTGTTAAACCTAAGTCACTCACTCATTCACTCATTTTCACATTCCATGCTGAAACCCCATAATAATAGAAATCAAATTAATTTTTTCAAACATTTAGTACAAACAAAATGATATTTCAAACTCAGTAGGAGACACATGTCTTATTTATTTATTTTAAAGAAACTTACATGTATAGGAATACTGCAGCATTCTGATTTATTTAATTTTTGACATTGGTTATCTTGAACACCCATCCCCACTGACAGGGCATCTTGTTGGCAGGTATGACTGGAATAGTGATGCTAATCCCTCCAGTGGGAGCAGCACTGGTCCATTCAAATGCTCCAGAACTGTAGCCCAAGAGAGTGACTACGGTGTTGGCTGGGTCAGGTGCTGGTCGATGAAGGGTGATGACCCCTTGAGTAGGCCAGCTGAAGATGATGGCGTAGACGTCCGTACCTTCACTGGACTTCTTTGATGTGTACCTGAGGGTTATGAGGTCAGGTGAGGTGAAATGGGGTTTAATGTCGCGTCCAAGATTATTGCACTTACATAGCGACGTGCATGTACGTGTGTGTCTTTGTGTGGCTGCTTTTACTAGTCTGGACTGATGCCGATTGATAGTGCTAGCCCACTGAGATACCATGTCGTAGTTCAACATGAATAGCCCACTCAGACACAGTATACTGACTCCGAGCCGACCAGTCCTTGTTTTAGCCCCTTAATGCCGAGCGCCAGACAGGGTAACAACAAGAACCATCTTTTAACATCTTTGTTATGACGCGGCCGGGGATCGAACCCCGGACCTTCCGCTCTCCGGGCGGACGCTCTACCACTAGACCACGGAGGCGGTCTGGGCGTTATGAACACAGTGATGTGTATATTGAGGTAAAGACATATATGTGTGCATACTGTGTAAATTCGTGTAGCTGTCTTTATGTTTGTATCTCCATAAATACATTACTGTATTTATTCTTGTATACTTCACACTTTTTTTAATAATTTTTAGACTCCCAAATTAGGGGTGCGTATTATACCCGAGAGTTAAATGTTACCCCTTTTCCCTCGCCAAGTGTGAGGCCATACAACAGAATTGTATGACCAGAAATTACCGGTACTTAAATCCACTGATGAAGATTCTGGTTATCAATAGTTGTCACTGACCATAATTCCGGGGGACTTGTTTCATTCTGGTAGGTCCATGGCCTTGAGCTGTAGATGGCCTCACCATTCACCTTGAGCCACTGCCCCATCTGCCTCAGTCTCTCCTCATAGATGGGGCTGATGACACCGTAGTGAGTGGGACCGATGTTCATCAGCATGTTGCCATTACAGCTGCAGACAGATGTAAAAACTGGTGAGGAGAAGTTTCAAAGTATACTTACATATTGGGTGTGTGGAGATCCTGGGATTTTTGTCACTTCTTCAAAACATACTATTTATTTCTCTGAAAGGAAGAGCAGAAATTATTTTCTTATTCCCTTCTTCTTCCTTCTTCGTGACATCCAAAAGGTCCAACAAATGTTTTATTATTTTATAAAACCTTATTTTTTTCAAGTATTTTCTGCAACATATTAAAAAACAACTACATAATCTATAGAAAGACCAGGAATGCTTTCAGCTCACTGGTTTATGCTTTCAAATGGTAACGAGTTTTAAGTGCCAACATAATATGGCAACTGTATTTGCCGTAATAACCACTCCATGATGCTCTTGGAGGGGCACTTATTAAAACCATACACAATCATTCTTTTCATCTCTTACAAATGGCTTCAAAACGTTGCAAAAAAAAATCCAGTGACTCATATATCTACAAGGACAGGTTAGGGAACTGATATCCCGACCATGCTTGCTAAGTTTCTTTGCAGTTTAAATTTCCAATAAGTTGTCTACAAAGGATGAAAGGCCTCGGCTATGCACCTTTTAGACACCGATTTTCTGTTACTTTGACTGTTTTTTTTAGAAAATGATATCAATTATCATTGTAAAAAAAAATATATGTCCTGGAGGACCTCGACAGTATATGTCCTGTAGGACCTCGACAGTCATTTCTGACTCGATTGCCGATAGACAAGACTAGCGCCATGTTTGTTTTAAACAATGACAGTAATACCTACGTAAACCTTTTTTGTTTGCATATTTATCCATATATAACCTGTATGGATAGAGTTTTTTATCTGTTGTCTATCTCTTGCTGAGAAACCTACCCATCATATGATAAAGTGATTTACCTGACAGTTTTTGCTAGAGTCTCAATGAGCTCCTCTATAGTCAGGTAGTCTGACAGGGGAGCTTCACGTCGGAACCCCCAGGACTTCTTGTCTATTGTCATGGCATTCACCCACTTGTGCTTCTGCAGAACACCTGAAACATCAGCCAATTAGAGCTTCTGTTAGAGACACAACAACAAAGTTGCATTGGGAGCCAACAAAATTAATACATTGCTTTAAATGAGAATCTGATAGCTTCTTATCAGGGATTTATTGCAAAAAACAACATTCACTCACTTCCTGTTGGCAGTATTTATCGTGAAGCCTTTACCCCTTACCAGGATTGTACCTGTCACCACATGTGTAGACGCCGCCATGGTTACATTTGCAGACAGTGCCCCACCGGTCATTGGTCACAACAACATCCTTGACTGGGCTAAACAAAGAACAATCGACATTAAGATTCATTGCCGTGAGTTAGATTTTTACTCCACAATTAATAATAAATGATGATTGACACGTGATGAGCAGACCAGGTTTCTCCACACATTTGTTCTCAGAAACCTGCTTACGTACATGGATTCGATCGTCTTGCCAATTTACCGTATTCGACGTAATAAGTGCACCGCTCTAATAAGCGCCCACGGCGATATTTGCTAATATATTGGCTAGTGAACAATTCCAATTAGCACCCCTTCCGATTGATCAATGTACACAACACTTATTTATTCGCGTATAACCAATGCTTGCCGTAAAAGGCGACTCTGCTTGTCGTAAAAGGCAACAAAAGGGATCGGGTGGTCAGACCAGCTGACTTGGTTAGCATTGATGCATGTCATCGTATCCCAATTGCGTAGATCAATGCTCATGATATCAATCACTGGATTGTCTGGTCCGGACTCGGTTATTTACAGACTGCCATCATACAGCTGGAATATTGCTGAGTGCGGCGTTAAACAACAAACAAATAAACAATATTTTTAAGCTTTAACTAATAATAAAATTTGTAAAAAAACTAAAAAACTTTATAGTAATATTTATTGTGACCACCAGCCACATGGTTTGAGGGGACCAAATATGTAAACAAAGAAGAAAGTAGCCTCAGATGGAACTTTTCATGATTGTGGCACACTCAGCAATATTCAAGCTGTATGATGGCATCATGTAAATAATTAAACCTTGACCAGACAATCCAGTGATTGATATAATTATAAATAAAACTGACGAAACAAATAAAGGCGACAAAACCCTATCTACATTCATAAGAAATCTCTGCCAAAAGCAGAGTCAATTGTAGGATTTTCATTTCATCATAACCATGTGTTAATGAATCACTATCAAATAGTTATGACACCAGGTGTTCATGAAAAGGCATAACCTGCCCCACCGGTAGCACCTGTCACAAACACATGCAAAGACAAGTCAATTGTTCACCTGAAAAACACAGAAACATATGGTACATGTAAATATGACATTTTGAAAGCTTTACTTAGGCTTTGTGTTTTGTAAACAAACAAGTTATGAAGAAAAGTCGTATGATGAAATCTAAGCACCAAAGGTTGGAGCTGTAATGATCCATCTGTTCGGGGTACGGTGACACCGTCAACTAAGCCACCAAATCTGATCACTCCATCATTTCAGTCACCTCTTACGACAAGTATATGTTGCTGGGGGCCAATTTGACCCTAGAATTACCATGGCTTAGCTCACCTGTCATTGTAGAGCCATGCCAGGAACTCCCTGGAGCCCCAGTAGGAGGCTGAGGCAACTGCATCTCCGTCAGACCACACAATGTCAGGCTTGTAGGTGTTCACAAGCTCATACAGCTCTGGCATTGTCTTGGTCTGAATGAGATAATATTGACTTATTAACATTTCTAACATTCTATAATTGTACACATACTTTAATCTTAATTTGCAACCATTTTGATGCAACCAATTTAATGTTACCGTATATCGCTGTGTATAAGGCGAGTTTTTCGTACCTAAAATGAAGAGGTTAAGAAGGGGGGTCGTCTTATACACGGAAGATCTCACATTTTTTTCCAGTTGTTTCACTTTCAGCTTCCACTGGCGATGTCAACCGGCATCCGACAGCCAGCCCAACATTTGACAATTAAACTTTGCATTTCGTCCTAAATAACCGTTCCAATAACTATTTCCATACATAAACATGATTTGTATCTGTTTTCCTTGAATAAAGTTTAATAATTTCTGCAAATAAAGTTGAAATGACCCTCGCCTCGATGCAGATTGTCAAACCAGCTGACATGGTAAAACAATCAACATCCGTGAGTAGAGAGCAGGAAGTACTGGGAAGCATTTGCATATTGTTATTATCACGTACTATGCAATGTTGATAATGTTATGCAGTAATAATATTTCAAGTATTTGCACTATTTTAAGTATTTTCATGAAAACATATGGGAATTGGCTTCAAATGAGGGAAGGGTTTGTTTCCAGAGAACCAGAAAGATTTTTATGCAATAGTGTTTCATGTTTGCGATACATACCACAATATATTGCATGTAATCTTCCGTCTGTAATTTGTTGTGGCCATGAAGTAAACCAAAACTTACACGAACCTTTTTTTTCTACCCCGTAGTCATCAGCCATTTTGTTGGATGTCGCTGGGGTCGCACATGCATAATATTCGCATTGTATACACGACTAGTTTCGTTTTTTCGATTTCTGAATTTTGTTACTAAATTTCAATTTGACTTGTCACTTATGTAAACTTTTTTAACAAGATGAACATATGCATGATTTTGATAAATGCTGTATACCAGTATTTTCCAAACATATAGTGATAAGTATTCTTTAGTATTTAATATTGTGGTATTCAGGTACATCAATGATACTGTGCACCTCTGATGAAGATCAAGTCACAGAGGGCTGTTTGTTTGTCATTGATGATAACCTTGTGTGTTTGTATGCCTGGACATAACATGCAGTATTAAAGCAAAGGGATAGTTATTTCACAGGAGTGTTTTCACCAATGCAAACTCCCGAGTTGTGAAGTTGTTGGCCTGGTCCTTCAGATAGAGAGGATGGAACCACTCAAACAGAGAGTGATACAGGCCGAAGTGGAGGTCTGTCTTGCTGCGGATGGCCTGCTCCAGCTCACCTGACAACACATGTATTCATCAGTGAATTTGTTTGTTGGTTTAGTGCCGCACTCAGTCATATTACAACTGAAGATGACACCTCTGTTAATAATCAAATATGGACCAGACAATCCAGTGATATTGCCAGCAATTACCCATGCCATTTGGTTACATGCAGTCAACCAGTCACTGAGTCTTACCATCCAATCCATCATGTCACATTATAGGCTTAATCCACATAGAGGGTTGACTACATGGCAGACCATTCCACTGACCACTTTATCCACATGGAGGGTTTTGGGATGGTCAGGTAGCCTAGTAGTTAAAGCATTTGCTTGTAAAGCCTAAGACCCGGGGTCGATTCCTGACATGGGCACAATGTGCGAAGCCCATTTCTGGTGTGCCCTGTTGTGATATTGCTCGAATACTGCTGAAAGTGGCGTAAAACCTCACTCACTCACTCACTCACTCACTCACTCACTCACTCACTCACTCACTCACTCACTCACTCATATAGATTCTTACCAACAATGTCTCTTTTTGGTCCAACCATCTGTGAGTTCCAGTTGAAGGAGACATTCGTTGGCCAGTTACAGAACCCTTCATGGTGCTTGCCTACAAACACCATATACCTACAACAAACAACCATGGTGTTAAATGGGGGCATGTTCAGGACGGTCATCTACTGCACTGTTATAGGAAGAGAAGCAATCATCTCATACTTAGCTCCAGAGTCTGCAAATAGCTCCGCCCATGTGTTTGCATCATAGAATTCAGCTGTAAAATCTTTAGCAAAATCTGCATATGTCCAGTCTGGTCTGTAGTTGTCCTTCATGAAGTCTATGTAGTTAGGTATCTTCTTCCCCTCCCAGAGATCCCAGAACCATTCATTACCATAACTTGGTACGGAGAACACTCCCCAGTGGATGAAGATTCCCAGTTTAGCTTCATCGTACCACGATGGAAGGGGGCGGGAATCTAGGGATGCCCAGTTGGGTTCATAGCGAATTTCTGGACTTTCTTCATTGTGTAAAGCACTTGCTCGGATAGTTACAAGGATGGTCAGGAAAATTGTACCAGCTAGAAGGGTAGCCATTTCAATAGTGGTGACTTTTGTAGCTGTTAAGATAGGACTGTGAGTGTTATCATTTCTTGGCCTAGGTATTACACCATCAGTGTAATCTTGGTCAAAGTCATGATATTGATTATGTGGTGAACTATATGTGATGTGGCCATGACACAGAGTGACCTTGTCCTGAAGATACAGAGCATGGAACCATTCAAACAGGTCATGATACAGACCAAGGTGCAGATCCATCTTTGATTTCCATGCTTCAGACATCTCACCTGTTGATAAAATTTGGTCCCAGACTCCAATATGAACTACTTGGCTCACAGATTATCATTTACAAAATTGTTGAAATAAAGTCTGGAGAATAGAAATTCCTTTTGAATGATAAGGACAATAAATAGGCTCAGGTTACATATCATGAGAAGGTCAATAAAGAAAACATCCTGTCATATGATTCATACAGACTGTCAATTTTAGGCCAGGTAAAATGTGTTGCTTGGGTTAAAGATTTTCAGGCCAAGTTAAAAAGTGCAATATTCAGGAGGCAAATATAAAACCAAGTGGTCATGACTGGTAAATAGAGATTAATTGCAGAGGCAATATTTGTAGAAATTATGTGGCACTTATCACAATAAATGCATGTAGTCATTGCAGGTTTCAAAGCAAAGACTTACAAATCTATTTATCATAAATAGCTGAAATAAACAAGTCATATGTATTTATCATGATGTTTATGTAGATGCAATTTAATAAGGCCGAAAAAAAGATAAAGTTGATGTTTCCTGTAACCAAACCAACCCATATTTCACTTGTGACTCCAAAGTAGTATTACAATATGCAAACCCAGTTGTGTGGAAACCTGTTTTTGATGTACAGTCGGAAATTTTGTTGGTGTTAACATTAAAATCACCTCAGCTGAAACAGATTGCACTCATTTCTATTGCTCTTAACATTTAAATACTATAGTCATATCATAGCATGAAGCTTTCATTTGAGAGTATGTAGCAGTTGGGCAGTGGAATTCAACCTTCATCATTTAAAATATCAACGGGGTGTTGTTTTGTTGAAGATTTCTTTTTTCATCCTCCAGTAACTAACTAAAAAAATATTCTCCTACCTACCGACCCTTCTTTCTCAAGTCAGTGTTACCTGAAACTTTTTTCTTCTTTTTTTGGCCTTATCAAGAAATCAAACTAGTGCATTTTACATTCAAAGCATCAGCTTTGGTTTACACTACTTAACAGTAAAACAGTATTCAATTATACTCTGCTTTAGCAGCAATTTATAGCCTATGCAATTTTCTGATGTATATATATACTATATAAGGTTGGGGATCATGAAATACAAGAAAGAAGAAGAAAAGAAAGTGAACGATCAATTTGAATAATGACTCTCACATATAGAACGGTTTGGGACCAAAACACCTCATCATGCCTGAAACATTGCAATTACTCTGTGCACATGGGTAAGGGGTCATTCTTGATTTTGACACTTCAGTAACTGGTTTTTTAAATCATTAGTATTGTCCATGTTCATTATCCACAGTTACATGTAAGCTTTCTACATTCTCTTCAATGCAGTATTTGTGATCAGTTTGGGAATTCGTCGGCTATAGCGTGATAAAAGCCTTAGGGCTATTGGTATGCTTCAAAATGATAAGTTTGTAGACTTTGGAGCAGATTTCTGCAGGCTTAAAATGTTAATGATCGACTCTGCACAGGATGCCCCAGGTGAACAAAACCAGTCCAAGGTCAATTGATCAGAAACATGCCCAAACATTCACACTGTTCAGTGAACCAGGCTCCTGGAGTTCAAGTTACTAAGATGATTAGAAATCGTCTGCATGCTCTGCGACCATGTGTTGTACCACCGTCAAAAACATAACACCTTCTTGCCAGATGCCAAAGGTGTTTGGAGTGTAGAAACTGGGGGAATTGTCAACAGTCTCGTGTAGTGTTTTCAGATGAGTTCATATTCACTGGGAACAAGTCTTGAGGTGCCCTTACGAACTTGTTCAGTGAACCAGGCTCCTGGAGTTCAAGTTACTATCAAGATGATTAGAAATCGTCTGCATGCTCTGCAACCATGTGTTGTACCACCGTCAAAAACTTAACACCTTATTGCCAGATGCCAAAGGTGTTTGGAGTGTAGAAACTGGGGGAATTGTCAACGGTCTTGTGTTGTGTTTTCAGATGAGTTCAGATTCACTGGGAACAAGTCTTGAGGTGTCCTTACGAACGTCAATGTAAGGCAACATTACAGATTTTGGGGTGGGTCTGTAACAATATAGGACAGGATGTCTGCAAGAATGCCACTGCATATTGTCCGTGGAAGGGTCACTGAGCAGTACTGCCGAGACAACATAGATGTGCTGCGAGAGAAGTGGACAAGACTCTCTCAAATTGTCACTGACAGATTTATTCAGGCCATAAAATACCATATCCTAGTACATGAATGTTTTACCAATCGTAGGGGCATGACCTATTATTGATCAAGTCATCTCAAGCATCATTTTTTGACTACACACCTCTGTCATCCTTATAGGTTGTTTGCACCCTAACAATACACTGGACCCGTGAAGAACCCATGCATGTTGTATGGCGCCTAACGGGATCGGGTGGTCAGACTCGCTGACTTGGTTGATGCATGTCATCGTATCCCAATTGTGTGGATCTTTGCTCATGATATCAATCATTGGATTGTCTGGTCAAGACTCTATCATTTACAGACCGCCGTCATATGCTGAAATATTGCTGAGTGCGGTATTAAATAACAAACAAACGAACAAACAATACACTGCCAACATGTTCTGTAGATTGTCATGTTACACCTAGTTCTTCCTTTTTCTTATCCATCACCATCTCTTTGCACCTCTTTAAATTTTTATAATCTGTTATTTTCAAATATCCTCTACATTTTTGGAGAATTTTGCAACACACTGAAAGGTGGATTTTAGACTTGTCAAAGCAAACATGTATTAGTGACCTATATGTTAAAACCTGTTGCTACTAGAAAACGTTGTCCCTTTGTTTTGTAAGTTCTACTTAGAATAGAATCTGCTTAAATAGTGAAACATATTTTTTGTCACACCAGGGTTTGCTGATATGGTTCCCCCTTAGAGAAAATCTTAGCCAAAGAGGTTAAAGTACAGTGACAGTCATGGTGTATTGCCACTGGGGTTTTGAACTGCCAACCACACACTACTGATGAAGTGGTGTTCTGTGCATTCGTCTTAAAGGGAAAGGGCTTTCAAAGAGATCATCCTCAGTCACATTGGTCACAAGACCCCATTGAACTCTGATATGCTCTGTAGCATTAGGCTTTAAAGGAGGAACTAGAGGTGTCATTAGTTCCACTAGCAGAAAAGCAAAACATTTTTTACAGTCCTTTTCTAGGCTTGTCATCGCCATACTCATACTTTAGGTGTAAAAAAAGTAGCATATGTCTGAGACATGTATGAGGCGTTCCTCCAACATCAAGCTGATGCACCATGATGTAACTGCAATATTGTTCACATTACTCGCAATCTCACTCACACTTACTGAAACTCAATAATAATACAAATCAAATTCATTTACCAAATATTTAGTACACACAAAATGATATTTCAAACTCAGTAGGAGACACGTCAAATTTATTCCTCAAAGTGAAACTTACATATATATGAATACAGCATCATCCGTATTATTTAATTTTTGACATTGGTAATCTTGAACACCCATCCCCACTGACAGGGCATCTTGTTGGCAGGTATGACTGGAATAGTGATGCTAATCCCCCCAGTGGGACCAGCACTGGTCCATTCAAATGCTCCAGAACTGTACCCCAAGAGAGTGACTACGGTGTTGGCTGGGTCAGGTGCTGGTCGATGAAGGGTGATGACCCCTTGAGTAGGCCAGCTGAAGATGATGGCGTAGACGTCCGTACCTTCACTGGACTTCTTTGATGTGTACCTGAGGGTTATTCAATGTAAATGGTATTCATACAGATACCTTTTTATTAAGAAATGGTTCTGCCAATTTCTGACAACCCATTTGATGATGAAAGGTGCTACATCACAATTCAAATTTGGGTCCCTTAGCTGTGCCAGGATCTGCTGGTCATGAGTGTTGTGAAAGAAATTAATTTTTACAACTACTGACTAAATGTGATCTCATTTGATCCCGGTATGAAATATTATGTTCCTGAAATGGAGTTTCATATGCTTTTTAGTTAGCATAATAGACCATAACAACTTTAATAGATCATCATACATCACAAGGTGGCCCAGTCTTTCAAGGCGCCACAATTCCCTGTGCAGAGTTGCGTCTCTTGGGCACGCCAGAAACCTATGATTATGGGTTCAAATCCCGGTTCACCCCGATTATGTTTCTAGGTTTGTCAGCACCATACCTCTGCTTGATGGTTTCACCGAAGTGGTCAACGTCTAAGACCTGCATCACTCCGGGCTTTCCTCCCATATTAAGCTAACACGCCGTGATATAACTGGAATACTATTAAAAGCGGTGTCAAACCCAACTCTGTCACTCATACATCACAACAAATCATGCATGCAATTTGAGTTGAGATATAACATTATATTGGGATAAATGTTGATATTTTTCTCACTTTTCTCATTCAATTCTCATCTAATTAATACTAACCTAACTTCAGCCATGTAATACTTGTCATTATACCAAAGCATAAATTTTCGTTCCTGTTTCTACACAAAGTTCCAGAACAACCCATCAAACAGTTCTATTTCAACCACTGACACAGTAATTGTGATAACTAAAAATGATCTCATGTACATGTTGATGCTATCATGCAACCATTGCCCCAAACTGACCCAGACATGTCATTTATAATCTTCTGTCATGGAAGATGGCTGACTACATCATAAACCAACACGCATATATTGTTTCTGTTTTCTTTTTTTATTTAAAGAAAACAGAAGTGTCAACCCTATGGAAACATGGAAACATTGTGTGAAGGTTCTGGTTATCAACAGTTGTCACTGACCATAATTCCGGGGGACTTGTTTCATTCTGGTAGGTCCATGGCCTTGAGCTGTAGA